TGGTTTCACAGTAAAAACAAACCCTCCACCACAAGCTGCTGCAGTCTCTGGTCCGCGATTTCGCGACCGTTCTACCCTCTCTTGCACCCATTGCCGTCGTCAAGGTCACGATGTCTCTGAATGTTTCCAACTACACGGTTTTCCTGAGTGGTATCTCGAACAAAAAGGTGGCAGTAATCCACCGCCTCGTCCTGTCCAGCGTGGTGGACGTCCGATGAAAGGAGGTAGTCGTGGTTGTGGACGTGCTCACAACGCCCGAGTGGATGCCCCATCTGACAATGCCGCTAATCAGATCACTCAACTGATCAATCTCCTTCAATCTCAGTCCTCCAACATCTCTTCGGAAAAATTGTCTGGTAAAACTCATTTATCCGATGTTGTTTTAGATACCGGAGCCTCACACCACATGACTGGTGACTTGTCTATTTTGGTCGATGTTGTTGATATTATACCCTCACCAGTCACCAAACCCGATGGGAAGCCATCTCGAGCTACCAAATGTGGCTCTCTTCCGTTGAGTTCTGCATATGTGTTAACTAATGTCTTGTTTGTGCCTGACTTTAATTGCACTTTGATCTCAGTCTCAAAGCTTCTCAAGCAAACGGGCTCAATTGGTATATTTACTGACACATTGTGTTTCTTACAGGACCGTTTTTCGAGGACTTTGATTGGAGCAGGTGAAGAGCGTGAGGGGGTGTACTATTTTACGGGAGTCTTGGCAGCACGTTCCCACAAAGCAACTGCGTCTAGTCTTTCTTCTGCTGAGCTGTGGCATCGTCGACTTGGTCATCCTTCCGCTGGTGTTTTAGTTTCTTTATCAGAATGTGTTACATCTTCTCCTGAGCTTGGCAATCTCAAAAGTTGTGACATTTGTTTTCGTTCTAAACAAACAAGAGATGTTTTTATTGACAGTAATAATAAAGCTTCAGATTGTTTTGATTTAGTTCATTGCGATGTTTGGGGTCCATATCGCGCTCCTTCGACAAGCGGTGCTTCTTACTTTCTTACTCTTGTTGACGATCACTCTCGGGCTGTCTGGACATATCTCATGTCTGCAAAATCCGAAGTCCCTCAACTCATACAAAATTTTTGTGCCATGTCTACACGACAATTTGGCAAACCGGTGAAATCATTTCGTACCGACAATGGCACCGAGTTTATGTGCCTTAGTTCTTATTTCCAAGAACAAGGTATCTTACATCAGACCTCTTGCGTTGACACCCCGCAACAAAATGGACGTGTGGAAAGGAAACACCGTCATATTCTTAACGTCGCACGTGCTTGTCTCTTTCAAAGCAACTTGCCGGTGAAATTTTGGGGAGAAAGCATACTTGCTGCAACACATTTGATAAATCGAACACCATCTTCTGTGTTGAAGAACAAGACTCCGTATGAAGTTTTGTTTGGTAAGCGTCCATCATATGACATGATTAAAACCTTTGGATGTTTGTGCTATGCTCATTATCGTTCTCGGGATAAAGATAAGTTTGGCCCCCGTAGTCGAAAGTGCGTTTTTGTTGGGTATCCCTATGGGAAGAAGGGATGGAGATTGTTTGATCTTGACACTGGAAAGTTCTTTGTTAGTCGTGATGTTCGTTTCCAAGAGGATGTCTTCCCTGACTTGGCCACCAAATCCTCTCCGTCGCTACCACACCAACAAGTTACGGTCGTGGATGATGACTGGGAACAAGTGCCTTCCCCATCTTCGATGGTAGTATCTCCTCCTTTTCCCTTGTCGGAGGTTGCTTCTACGCCACAGGAGGCTGGTGTCGATCGACACGCAGCATCGCAGGAAGCTGTGGTTCCATCCACACCACAGTCTCCGGTCTCCCCCCCGTCGGCTCCTGTGTTGCCTGTTCCAGGTGACGAGTCTCCTCCTACTCCGGGCCTACCAGAATTACTTGGTAAAGGTCATCGCATCAAGACTCCATCTGTTCTACTTAAAGACTATGTTGTTTCTCATGTACACTCTTCTTCTCACGCTCTCGCATCTGGTCTCTCCGATTCAATGTCTTCGACTACGGCCTCTGGTACGATTCTTTACCCCATTACTAAGTTTCTCTCTAACGCGGGTTTTTCCGCCAACCATATTGCTTTCATGGCTGCGGTCTTAGACAGCAATGAGCCTAAACATTTTAAAGATGCTGCTAAGATCAAGGAGTGGTGTGATGCAATGAAGAAAGAAATAGATGCTCTAGAAGCTAATCACACTTGGGATATTACCGACTTACCTCCTGGAAAGAAAGCTATAAATAGCAAGTGGATTTACAAATTAAAGTTTCGTGCCGATGGTTCACTTGAACGTCACAAGGCTCGTCTTGTTGCCATGGGCAATAATCAGAAAGAGGGTGTGGATTTCAAAGAAACATTTGCTCCGGTGGCAAAGATGACAACTGTACGTTCTCTTCTCGGAGTTGCCGCGGCCAAAGAATGGGAAGTACACCAAATGGATGTCCATAACGCTTTCCTTCATGGTGATCTTGACGAAGAAGTCTACATGAAACTCCCCCCGGGTTTTAAATCTTCTGATCCATCGAAAGTGTGCCGATTGCGCAAGTCCTTGTATGGTCTTAAGCAAGCACCACGGTGCTGGTTCTCCAAGCTCTCGACTGCTCTTCGTGAATTCGGCTTTAAACAAAGCTATCAAGACTACTCCTTGTTCACCTTAAACCGTGGCACCACAGTTATTCATATGCTAGTCTATGTTGATGATTTTGTAATCGCAGGCAACAACTTAGACGCCATCAACCATTTTAAAGAACAACTCAGCAAGTGCTTCCATATGAAAGACCTCGGTAAATTAAAGTACTTTCTCGGTATCGAAGTCTCTCGTGGGAAAGATGGTTTCTGCTTGTCTCAACGCAAGTATACTCTTGATATCATCAATGAGGCTGGTTTGTTGGGGACCAAACCAGCTCCGACTCCTATGGAACTAAACCATAAACTTGCTTCGGTGACAAGTCCTATGTATGAAGATCCGGAGCAGTATCGCCGTTTGGTTGGTCGTTTTATTTACTTGACTATTACACGTCCGGACCTGAGCTATCCCGTCCACATTCTCTCCCAATTTATGGCGACTCCGCTTGTAGCTCATTGGGAAGCCGCACTTCGACTTGTTCGCTATCTCAAAGGCTCTCCTGATCAAGGTATTCTACTTCGCTCTGACAATCCTTTAACACTCACTGCCTACTGCGACTCGGACCTCTCTGCATGCCCGCGAACTCGTCGCTCATTGTCTGCCTATGTTGTCTTTCTCGGTGCCTCTCCTATCTCTTGGAAGACAAAGAAACAAGAAACTGTGTCCAGCTCCTCCGCTGAAGCAGAATACCGAGCTATGGCTTACACTCTTAAGGAAATCAAATGGTTAAAGGGACTCATGGAAGACCTTGGTGTTGCTCAGTCTACTCCCATACCTTTGTACTGCGACAGTCAGGCCGCCATACACATCGCTGCAAATCCTGTTTTCCATGAGCGCACAAAGCACATCGAACGTGATTGTCATCAAGTTCGAGATGCTGTTCAAGATAAGCTAATTACTACTGTCCACATTACTACTCATGATCAAGTCGCTGATCTCTTAACAAAGGCCTTGCCAGCTCCACAATTTCAGAAACTGTTGTCCACATTGGGTGTCTCTAATTTCGTCGCACCAACGTGAGGGGGGGTATAGGATATATGTTAATATTCCAAATCATGTATTTAGTTAGATACGATATTATCTAGTTAGGCAAGTCCTTGTGTATATATATCTTCTACCTATGATGAATATAGACACGATTCTACCTTGACATATTTCAATTGTTATCGAAAATAATTGAACTAGATAAAATTTTCGTAATATAATTCTAACATGCTGAAAAACTATTTTAGTGGATTAATAATGTTTTACTTTTTGTAATTATAGTTTAACACCTTGGTTGTATTTGTAGTGGAATCACTTTTCAAAACTTGATGAAGATTATGCAGGTTATGAAGTGGCGTCCAAAGTTTCTAAATTTTCTTTTGTCCTATGCAAAACAAAAAAGTTGGGCTTTTTTGTTACTGTAAAAAAAAAATTCTCCTAAAAATAGTGTTTAACAATGTAAGATCCTAAACGATGGTTTCTCTTGTTTATGCTTAGGACCAGCCACGTAACTCCGCCATTGATGACATGCTCATCCACAGTTCCATAGAACCTTGAAAGTCCCTAATCCTTGAGTCACATCCTGAAGGCTTTCCTTAGCCTATCCAACCCGGAGTAATCTCCATGACCATTGAGGAAATTAGTCTCGTCTACTCTCTAAAGCTTTAACGATACTCGCCAACGAATTCTCCAAACCAAAACCAATCAAATTTCACAAACTCCAAAATTTTGCTCAAAACAATATGCACACATATGTACTAGATTAGATTTAAATGAGTTCATTTTAAAGTGTATTTAAGTTTTTTTTTTTGTCATCGTAAATTTTATTAAAAATTGATAAAACTTCATACACAAACGAAAAAAAATCCTTAAAAACTATATAGATAAAAATGTTTTTTTTTTTTTTTTGACAAACCCTATCGGCTGATCCGGTCAGCCCCGGTAGAAACGCTCCGAAATGCTTCAGAGAGGACTTCTTCCAGAAGGGCCACCACAATGTCTGTCCCGAGTTTGGAATGATTTCCGACTAATGTCAGGGAGTAGTCAGACCGCCTGTATTTCTGACTACCATGTAAACTAATTGGGTTAAAGCCCAACTGACAGACTTCCCAAACAAATATGTTTTTTGTTTCCAGGGATAAAAATGTTAAAATTTCCGGAGACAACAACCCTAATAATCTTTTCAAAATTTTATTTAAGTATTCATCTAAATTATATTAGGATAATAAAAAATAGATCAATTAAATGCTTAGGAGAAAATAATACATATTGATCGGCGTCAGACTGTATATATTTGTTAAATTGTTATATTGGGTGATGATAAGCGTTAAGTTAAAATAACATTAACTAAAGACTATTCCTTCGGACCGAAGCGACAATTATTTTTTCCACAAGCATTTACCTATAAAATCTTTCTATTTATATTTGTCTGCGTATGACTGAGAGTAAGAAAATATTGAAGGTCAGAAGAATGAGTGAGAAAAAGAGGAAGCAACATTTTGTACTAGTACATGGTTCGTGCCATGGCGCATGGTGCTGGTACAAGGTTAAGCCGCTGCTAGAGGCGTTGGGCCATCGCGTAACCGCTGTGGACTTAGCTGCTTCTGGTATAGACACAACCAGGTCGATCACTGACATCCCTACATGCGAACAATACTCGGAGCCATTGTCGAAGCTGCTAACCTCATTGCCAAATGATGAGAAGGTTGTGCTCGTTGGTCATAGCTCTGGTGGCTTGAACTTAGCCATAGCCATGGAAAAGTTTCCCGACAAAATCTCTGTCGCTGTATTCTTGACTGCTTTCATGCCCGACACCGAACACTCACCATCCTTCGTCTTGGACAAGGTACCTCCTTTTTTCTTTTGGTAATTTACTCTTGATGAAAAAAAAAATTACTCTTGATGATATGTATATAGACCATCATAAATATGAATTTATCTACAAAGTCTTCTTTAGTTTTAAATAGGTCTAGGCCTCATGCTGACTAGAAGTTGAACGGTAAAAAAACTTGTAGTAGTGTCCAAGTTGGACAAGTCCAAGAATTTAATCTTTGTATACAAACCAAGAAAAGTTAATCTAACAGGAATAATGAAGATTGCTTCTAAGATATCAAAAATATATAGAAAATTTTTATGGTCATGTTTGGCAAATTTTATTTTTATAAGCGACTTTAAAGTGGTAATCATGGCATATAAATTAGTACTTTATGGCCATTGTTATTGCATATTGTTAAAAAGATATTAATTAGCATGATTAAGTACCTACCAACCAGCTAATACTTTCATTCCTGATATTAATGACTTAGCGCATGAAAGATTTCGTTTCTGAGTTTTTATGTTTCCTTCTTTTTGGAATCTACTTTATTATTTTTTGTGGCCTATATGAGATAACTATAGATCATGTATTGACAATACACAATGTACACGTGGGGTCTAAATTAAATTTTTTTTTTTTTTTTGACATCTTGGGGTCTAAATTAAATTTTATGATGATTTAAGTGTATAACCAAATCTGGTAAATAAATTAAGAATATATCACCTTAATTTTGAAAACAAAATACATAACCATCATACATTGTAAAATGACAAAACTACCCATATGTGTAGTACACGTCTGATAGGTGCTGGAAAAGGGGAATATTCATTTTGTTATTTAATTTTTTTTTTTTTGAACTTTGAACAAAAAAACGTTTACCCCTTCATATTTGTTTTCAGAAAAGTTCTTAAAAATAAATTAATTAAAATTGTCAGTTCTATTAGAAAAAGTTTAGATTTTTTTTCTGATTATATCATAGGTTGAATTTTTCAAAACAGACATAAACATTTTACGTGGTAAATAGTCTTTGTAACAAAAAAACATATGTTATACTATATAGGATCACACAAAATATATGTTGTACTATACTATTTTTTTAAAATTATATTTAAATCAACTTAAACTTAAAAATACTAAACCCTAAATCCAATCGTCTAAACCCAAACCCAAAACATATTTTTTAAAATTGATGATATCAATAAATTTTAAAATTGAAAATAATAAATTTATTTAGAAAATAGAATAGAACATTGTAGTGTTCTATTTAGTACGAAGGTCATGGAGCGGGCCGAGACAATGGGTTAATTCGTCTACCAAATCAAATCGTTTTAATGGTAGCTCCGCAATGGTTGTGACTTCTACATCTACACAAAGTGGCAATCGGATAAGATTTTACAACATCGGAATCGGACGCAACATCGGAATAGGACGATCGAACATTTACCGATGATTACATCATCATCTCCTTAAGGAGGAGGACTTATAGACTATTATGTTGGTGTCGTTGTTGACTGTTTTTGGGCGATGACGGAGAGAGATATGGCGTCGTGAAATAAGTTGCAGGAAAAGAAAAAAAATAAGAATAGGAAGAGAAAGAGATGATAGTTTGAGGTTAAAGACATGGTGTTACGTGGTGTATCACAACAAGGGTAAATATGTATATATTACACAATGTATGCCAAATATCATAACCCAATTTTTTTATGGTTATTTGTTGAATTATTAAATTTTTGATGGTTATAGGCTCAAATTTTCCTAAATTTTAGTAGTTTTTTGAACATATATCATTTTCATGGTTGTTAAAGTTTTACCACCGTACGGTTCCTTATTTTCTTGGATATTTAATTGTATTAAACTTGAAAAACAAATCTGTGTTTAATTTTTTTATTTTATTTACTTAATTGTGTAAAAGTTTGGAAGCAACATGCCACCAGAAGCATGGATGGGCACGGAATTCGAACCATACGGTTCAGATAATTCTGGACTGAGTATGTTCTTTAGCCATGAGTTCATGAAGGTCGGTCTCTACCAGCTTTCTCCAGTTGAGGTAATTTTTTTTCCACCAAAGTTGTATTTACTTTATCCACATACTTTTTGTTTTGTTTAACATACATTCTTATACTTATATGTCTCTTAAAAAACCGAAAATGAAACAGAAGTTCTTTTGAGATCATTGAATTACTTGATGAAATTGGGGACAATGAATAAATTGGTGACTCAATCAATCATTTTTTAATGTTCTATTATTTATAAAAATTGTATAATACAAAGTATGCTCATTTAAAATAGGCATTTTTTACATGCATACTTAATATATCGTTTTCCACTTTTCGTGGTCTACAAAATTATTGAAAGCAATAATATGTCTTCAAATCAATATGATCTTATATGAAGACTATTTCATTATTAGATTTCTAATTTTTCTATTTAAAAAAAAACTTTTAAAATTTAAAACCAAAAGTTTTCATTTTTTGGAATAGTTCAAACAACAATTTAAACGTACTAAAATAAATGGAAAATTAATATAAAGGATAGTGGATCAATGGTCAATAGCATATATATTTTTCTGGCCGACCGAACTATTGCCTACCGAATGTGACATATGTTGTTACATTGATTTAGGATCTTGAACTGGGATTACTTTTAAAGAGGCCAGGATCGTTATTTATTAACGATTTATCGAAGATGAAGAACTTCTCAGATGAAGGATATGGATCTGTTCATCGAGCTTTCATAGTGTGCAAAGAGGACAAAGCAATTCCAGAAGAACACCAAAGATGGATGATTGATAATTTTCCGGTGAATTTAGTGATTGAAATGGAAGAGACAGATCATATGCCAATGTTCTGCAAGCCTCAGCAACTCTGCGATCACTTCCTGGAAATCGCTGAAAATTTTGTTTAATCAATCTTCTTGAAAATGTATTGGATTTGATATAATAAGGGTTTGTTGCAAATGAATAGTAACGAATGTTTTTAAATTTCCAGTCTATGTTACAAGAATTCTGTATAAGACTTTGTAATAACTCTTTTGAATTTAATAAAATTTGTTTCGCTGAAAACAAAAGGAAAAAAAAAAAAAATTCCAGTCTTTGTTACTTTTTATGATATAATTCACTATACAAGTGAAAAGTATTTCTTCTTTTTCTTTTCTATTTCTGTGTGCACACAACAGAGAAGTAATTTATGTTTTATTAATCTTCTATTTTCGCGCATGGTTCGAGATAATTATCTAGTCAGATATGTTATGTCACCTTTAACACAAAAAAAAAGAAGAAGAAGAGATACGTTATGTCGGTGAACATGGCTTCAACTCGTGAGTCATGAGTAAATAAATGAATCATAATTATTATAATTTTAGAAAGATTCAACATTTTTATAAAATATTAACAGGTGTCTAATCCTTATAGACTTTCTCTTTTTCTTCCATATGTGTTGTTTCTAGAAAACAAAATCCAGATTATTATAGTTCTTGATATCATAAAAATCTAGAGGAAAGGGACCATTTCAAAAAATGAGAAGTTTTTTTAAAATCCCTTTATTTATGTGTTGTGTCGTGTGTGGGTGAAGAGTACCAAGTCGAGAGACAAAGTTAATAGTAAAGAACGAAATGGGTGAGGAGAAGAGGAAGCAACACTTCGTGCTAGTACATGGTGCATGCCATGGCGCCTGGTGCTGGTACAAGGTTAAGCCGCAGCTCGAGGCTTCAGGCCACCGTGTAACCGCCTTAGACCTAGCTGCCTCCGGTATAAACATGACCAGGTCAATCACTGATATATCCACATGCGAACAGTACTCAGAGCCATTGACGCAACTAATGACCTCACTACCAAATGATGAGAAGGTTGTGCTCGTTGGGCATAGCTTAGGAGGTTTGAGTTTAGCCGTGGCCATGGATATGTTTCCAAACAAAATCTCTGTTTCTGTCTTCGTGACAGCTATCATGCCCGACACCACACACTCACCATCCTTCGTAATGGATAAGGTATTCGAACCAACCTTTACTTTTTCTCTTTTTGGTCTTATTCTAAGTCAATGTTTATATCAATGATTTAACAGTGAACACTAGTCCATGACTATAAAGATGAATAGAGTTGAAGAATATTATTTAGATAATTCTGTGAATTTACTTAGTTATGCTAAGAATACCTTTGATTGCTATTTCATATTTTTATGAGCATATAGATGAAAAGAAACTAACAACAAAATCTCAAGCATATGATACAAAGATTTCGATCTTTGAACTCTTTAATATTTGTATTTATATGCTACAAGATTAAAACTCTATATCATGTGTTGACAATCTGACATGTACGTTGGTCAAATGAATTTGCTAGATTTAAGAAAATTAGTTGGCTCGTCTTTGTTTTTCGGATGGCCCTTGAATCACTAACGCTATGATACCAATTTTTAGAACCTATGGCTTCTTAATCCCAACATAATGATGGGTTCATTGTGTGCAAAAGAAGGAAAAAAAAAATGATATTGTAATCATAATAGTCTAGAAAGAAATTTGGAACGAAAACAGAGGTGAATCTGAAATACACATCTTCTATATATTGAAAGAGAGTTTTGGTTGTTAATGTGGCAAGCCCACAATTTTTCCCAACCTTTTTATTTTTTTCTTTTCTTAATTAACCTATTCCACTTGCCAAACACTCTTATTTTCTAATTTGACTATTCTAATACTAATTGCCAAATACATAAGAATCCTAAAATTACCAAAAGTTATTATTTCAAAAGATCATATATTAAATCTTACCAAGAAATACAAATTTTTTAATATATTCGTTGTAATATAATGCATTTTTAAAAAAAAATTAATGCAAACTACAAAAAATACTTTTCTAAAATTAAATTTTCCTACAAATTTTTTTTTTAATAATCTTCTACTAAGTAAACATAAGATGAAACAAACATTGTTAATTTGTCACCAATCCAAATTTACAATAAAACTAAACACAACTACTTTGTAAATTACTAACATATTAAAAATTAATAATAATCTAATCGAATTTTTATATTTTAATATAGAAAAATTAATAAATTAAATAGCATAAAATTTATCCGTACATAGTACAGGTTCTTACGTATGGTGTTGTTAAATATGGTATGATTTTTTTGTAAAATTCTATAAAACTATATATAAAATTTCTATAAATATATTTAAATAATTTAAGTCTAATTGATCTGCAATTAAATTGAGTTCTTCTGATGACCAGACACTATTTTAGTTTTTTGTCTAAGTCTAAGAACATTGATCAAAGTTATTAGAGTGATTCAAGAAATAATTCACTATTTGATCTTAATCTTTATTTTTATTTTGCTAAAATAAAACATCTTTATTTTAGATCTATAATACGGTCATCTACAAAGTGATATGAATCAAAACTATGATTATTTGGTGAGATAAAATCGTACGCACTTGTCACAAGAATTTGAGCTACCATCATGTTGTGTCCTCTCACTCGGAGATGGTCCAATATGTCACATTAGTACTCACCCCCTGAAAAATAATAAGATATTGGTTGCTTATGTATTATCCATCCCCCATATACCCATAATTGTGACAATTTTAATATCGTTTGCATTTAGTTTGTCTGAAATTTATCGACACACATATTGCTTAAACTTTTTTCAGCATAGATTAAGGGGGGTGTATTGAAATTAGGATTTTAGAAATTTTTGGGATTTTCTTTAAATGACCTGTTATTCAACTTGTGATTTTTAAATCACTTCCCAAATCCAATGTTATTGAAATTGAAATTTCTATAAAATCACTTGTAATCTCTTGTTATTCAATCAACAATTTGTAAAACTTATATCAAATCAACTGTTATTGAAAACATAATTTTTTTTTGAAAGAAATCCACAACACTGATTTTGGGAGACTTTGTATACATTTTTACATGTTAAACCCAATAGAAAAAATCACACCTTCAGAGGTGGTATTTGGAACAATTTGTTATAAAAAAAAAAAATCACAGAAAAAAATCCTCTCTTTCACTTTTCTCGTGTTCATCACTAAACAGGGGTTTTCAAACATGAGAGATCGTCTCACTACCGACCATCAGATCTGTACCGCCGCTAATCTCATATACATCAAGAATCACTCCGACTCCACCACCTTTAAGCCCGCAGGTAGCATCGCCAACGCCATCGTCTTCGTCGTCCTTGTTGTCGTCGCCAACGCCATCGTCTTCGTCGTCCTTGGTGTCTTCGTCGTCCAAGTTTTCAATATTGAAGTTGTAACACAAAGGCGTAAACTATCTCAGAATCACAACCACAACATGTTTTCTCCAAAGCAAGCCTTCCCATCTTTTATCAATTCCATCACGTCATAGCGTTTTTAATGGAACGACATGTTTCAAAAGCACAAACGACATTGCAAAGAGAATTCTTATTGTTATAGGTTGGCTCTTTGCACTTGGTACTTGTTGATGGTGATTTCAGTGACTTGAGCTTTGGAATGGTACATCAATGGAATTTGTTTTTGCTACGATCGAGTTACGTCACTTCCGTTTTAATTGAAATCCAATTTTTCCTTTTTGTTCTAGAAAATCTCACCAAATCATTCAATAATATCTGTTTAAAATCTCACCAAATCACAAATTATTTTTTCTTTTTTAAAATTAAAATCTAACAATTCCAACGAAAGTATCCTAAAAATTCACAATATCTCTTCAAATCCCAAATTTCCTAAGTTCCACAAAATCCTCCTAAATCTTTACTCCAATACACCCCCCTAAGTAAGAAAAAACATTAGATATACTCAATAAAGTTTATCTGACAAAACAGAAGATATTCTAATCCAAGAAGATTGAAGTTGTTGTTTTATATGGTCTGGAATTGGCTTGCCAACACCGCTTCTATAGTATTTGAACCCAAATAAAATTTCAGCGGCAAGAGCATTGCAAATATTTCGGGCAATTTGACTTGGACGGACAAGTTTTGAAATACCTCAATTGTCGATATCCCTAAACACGACATTTTTGGCGTACATGTAGAGGGTTTCCTCTTCCGCTTTTAAAATAAAAAACAGAAATTCAAAAAATACAGTTTCTGAAAAATAGTAGTTTGTAAATTTGAAAATTAATTCTCTTTTATCCTCTCAATGCTTTATTAGTAATCCTCATAAATTACGTAATCGTGACACGTGTCATGTCTATCGATGATATGTGTCAAAAAGTTTAATTTTGTTTTACTGAAAGAAAAAAAAGAAGCTAAAAATACATATATATATATATATATATATATATATATATATATATACTAATGTATATGTCTATATCTAAAACTTTTTAACTTTTATTATTCTTAACAAAAAAAAGAAAACTAACAATATTTTTTTCCATGTGTTATTGGTCAATTAATTTATCATGTATTAGTTAGAAAATAATAATTTAGCATAGATATTAACTTATAAACAATGACCGTTGAAGTTTAAAATAACCATATAAGTTATTGAATATTAATTTAATTGGATAAAATTATATTTATCATTGTAATATAGTGTTTTTTTTTGTTAATTAAAAGCAAAAAAAATTGAAAAATTAATGAGCTTATTTTTTTTTTGAATACTTATTTTTTATTATGTTTGGATTAAATGCATTAAATTATTAGTATAGTTGTACGTATATTTTATTTTAAGAATTTTAGCGCATGTAGTCATAAGTGAAACAATAAATGTTTTGGGGAAATGGCTTATAGGATTTAATTTTTGATTACTTAATGAGAATGTTAGTATCATTTTTATTTATGTTTTATTTACTAATTTTAACTCATTTAAAATTAGTTCCACATGAGGTAAAACTATATTTCAAACAATTATGTTTTGTTATTTGCTAATTTTTTTTATATCAACTAAGATATATATAATTTATATGATATACATATTATTTTTATAAATTATCAGCATTTATCCATTAAGATGAAGTGTGTAGAATTAAAATCCAGTTTTATTATGATGAAATAGATAGTTAAATTTTATTGAAAAAGAAAATAGGTCAAATCGAAATTTAGTTTAATAAAATACAAAATTAAATATATAAAAAATGTGTGGGTTACTATTTAGAATTCAAATATCATCAATAAGATAGAGTGTGCAAAATTAAAGTTCAGTTTATTATGATGAAATAGATAGTTAAAATGTATAGCAAAATAGAATGTGTAAGATTGAATTTCTATTGAAAACATAAATTACTAAATTAAATATTAGTAAAAGTGTGTGGATTAATGTTTACTATTCAAAATTTAAATAACATCAATAAAATTTTACATTTATATCTGACATCCGCTTGTTTTTGTGGCTTTATCTAGTTATTCATTAATTAGGGGATGCATTCTTTTTTGTTGTCAACAGCTTTTAATTAAAATTCAAAAGAACCATTCCGGATGAATGTTGCTTACATAAGTAATATGATGCGGTTCGGTACGAATTTTTCGTGCCAAATTAGGGGATGTATTCGACTCTATATTTGAAATGATTTGGGTTTTAATGAGTTCTTATAGGATTTTTATGATTTTGAGTGATTTAAGGGAAGTTATTATGATTTTATGTATTTTTACATCCTTAATGTATTGAAAGAAAGTTTTCGGTGCTTATATGTGTCAAACCTGCAATTATTCTTAAAATTTTTATTTTTTCATTTATTTTATTTTACTATTTTTCTTGCCAATCAATTTTAATTCCATATACAAAACTAAACTTACATAAATTAAATATTTCAAATTTTCAAAATACAAAATATTCTATATAAATATAAAAATATATATTATATTCATTTTAACACCAAAAAAATCTTTTTTATATATTATAAAATTTTAAATTGAAACCGAAAATATACATATTCACTATTATAAATGATTAAATATTTAAAATTATATTTATAATTTTATTTCTAGATTAAAATTTTATTGCATGATATTTATGTAGCACCAACTTAAATTCTTAAATTTTGCAACGAAAATAAATTATCTTGGAAAAAACTTAATATAACATAAATATACTTTTTAGGTAAAACAGTTATATATATATATATATATATATATATATATTTATAACAGTTATATACTTTTTAGGTAAAACAGTTATATATATATATACATAACTTATATATAAAGTCTCATACATACTATATATATGTAAATATATTAATCTAAATTTTTACTATAAAAAAGTTAACGTCATTGACCAACAGTTAGAGTAAGTCTATCCAGAAATATATTTTGATTTGATTTCCGAGTTGTGTTTAAAATATATTATAAAACTAAACGTAAACACTATGTACTCTATAACAGTACTAGGACTCCGATCCCCCACGATGTCGGAGAGAAAACGATTACAACAAAATTTAAAGAGGAAAATATCAAACGAAAATTAACAACTAAAAAAAACTTTATACAATATAGATAACAAAATATATACATGAATGTTGGATACCAAAATAATACAACATTCATTCATATACCAAAGAATAAAATATTGGTTGGTCAAATAAACCAAATGTTACTATGTTGAATTATACGGTAGCAATAATTCATTTAAATATATTTTAATAATTAAAATTTAATATTTTTATGAAGAACTGAAACCGAGAGATGCGACTGTAGATATCAAATATAACAAAAGTTGCAACGGTTTGCCAAATATGTCAAATGTTACAACGGTTCGTCAAATAACCTAAAGATTACAACGGTTCATAAAACAAAACCAAAACTACAACAATGTAATTAAATAGTTACAATTTAAATTAAATACATTTTTGTAATTAAAAAGTTAAACTAATAATTTATGGAAAGTTACACCAAGAAATGTGATTGTATATAATTAAATGTTATAACGATTATGTTCATTATGGATTATGTTCCGTCCATAACTCTGCTTTAGTCTTTCTTGCTCTGGTTTTGCATTCATTTATTTGCTCTGTTTCTGTCTTTTGTTTTTTTTTAAAGCTATTTATGCCAACGATGGCTAGCAAAACAGTTTCTAGAGAACTGATGTATATATTTTCATTATTTTGATATATAAATTATACATTCAAACAAAAAAAAAATGTTATAACGATTTATAAAATAAACCAAAAGTTGCATTTGTTCGTGAAATAAACTAAATGTTGCAATGATTCAACTAAACGATTGCAACCATTTATAAAGAGTTACGATAAAAAGACGCAACGTAGAAGACTTTTATTCGGATTGAATTTTTCTAAAAAAATATAACTGTACAATATAACTTTTATTTTAAATAAATAGATTTTATAATGATTTAGAAAATAAACCAAAAGTTGCAATTTTTCGTGTAATAAACTAAATAATGCAATGATTCAACATTTCAACTAAATGGTTGCAACCGTTTATGATGAGTTACGATTAAAAGACGCAACCGTAGAAGATATTTAGTCGGATTGAAATTTTCTAAAAAATATAACCGTAAAATATACTTTTTAGTTTAAATAAATAAACGTTATAATGATTCATAAAATAAACCAAAAGTTGCAATTGTTCGTGTAATAAACTAATTGTTGCATTGGTTCAACTGAACGGTTACAATCGTTTATGAAAATCTGCGATAAAAAGAAGCAACCGTAGAAGACATTTATTCGGATTGCAACTTTCTAAAAATACACAACCGTAAAATATATTTTTAGGTAAAAATAAATAAATTTTATAACGATTTGTAAAGTAAACCAAAATTACAATTGGTTGTGAAACAAACTAAATGTTACAATGGTTCAATTAAATAGTCACAACCGTTTATGAAGAGTTATGATAAAAAGGCGCAACCGTAGAAGACAATTATTCGGATTACAATTTTTAAGAAAAATAAACCAAAAAATATATTTTTTTAGTTTAACAAAAAAATTAGCGAAAGGTTGCGATAAAAAAACACAACCATTCACAAGTACAAAATGCATTTATTGAGATTATTATTATTATTAGATTGAAAATTTTGAATAAATTAATGAAATAAATATTTTCTTATAAATAATCCAATGCTTAAAATGTTTCAATAACAGTGGATTTTAAAATATTTTCTCCAATGATTGATTAATATCCCCTTTTAATAACTGTCAAGAACGTTCGGAAACGGACAAGTCATAGTTCTAACTTTTATTGACTTTACACACAAACCTTTGACATACGTAATGTTTTGAAACTAAAACCAAGTGATTCGGACAATATTTGACTGAAATCTACAGCTAAGACAAGGCATTTCACGAGAAGAATGGTTAGACACCGTGTTTACTAGCGAGAAACCTGACTGTCCTCGAGAGTTTTCTCTTTTTGGACCAAAATTCATGGCCAAGAACTTGTATCAGTTGTCTCCAGTCCAAGTAAGACTCTAAGCTTAATAAAAACCACTCTTTTCAAGCAAAAATTAGATTATGCTAGTAACTTCTGTCAATCTTTTGTTGTGGTGAACTAGGATCTTGAATTGGCGAAAATGTTGGTGAGACCGCAACCATTAATTACGAAAAATCTGGCAGAGAAAAGTAGCTTCAGTGAGGAAGGCTACGGATCCGTTCCACGTATATATATTGTATGCGAAAAGGATCTTGTGGTACCCGAGGATTACCAGCGTTCGATGATCAACAACTTTCCGGTGAAAGAAGTAATGGAGATCAAAGATGCAGATCATATGCCAATGTTCTCCAAGCCTCAAGAACTATGTGCTCTTCTCTTGGAGATTGCAAATAAATATGCCTAAATATATAAACCATCATCACTGCATATCAATTACAAAACTCAGTGTCCAACACAATAAGAAGCCAAATGAGACTATATCTATAATGTATGAGAACTACGCAAATGATACTATTCATAAGAATGGTTTTATGAATAAGATTCGTGAGAGAACTATATTACCTGAGAATTAAATATGTTATATGGTTTGTCCATTGATTTTTTTTTTTTTTTTTTTGAGCAAAAGTTTGTCCATTGATTAAATTATTAAAACTTGATAAAACTCGTTAAATATGTTTTAATTATATATCTACTTTGATTGTCATATATTTGTCTTTTTTTGTGCGGAAGCCGTAGAGCATTTCCTAAGCATTTTATTAATACAAATAAATTTTCTTAATATTATCTTTATATATCTACTTTTAGTTTTTATTTCCAATTTATTATTTTTGTTAAAAGATTTAATAAAAATTTATTATTGGTCGACTAAATATGATTTGACCTCGTGTATAAGTGGACACGGAACAAACATCTAACACAAGTTGTATCACCGAAAAGACAGTCCCGATTGTCGTTTTGCAAATAAAATTTCTAAAGTTGTTATTTCTTTCTTTGAAGAAAAATTCGAAATTGTAATTCTCAGTGAAATCGTAAAAGAATCTCACGGAAAGCGACAATTTTAGAAAATTCAACGATAAGCTTTATTATCTCTCTACTTATGTGTTATGTGTGGATGTGTGAAGAGTAGGGAAAAGTACGAGAAGAAAATGAGTGAGGAGAAGAGGAAGCAACACTTCGTGCTAGTACATGGTATGTGTCACGGCGCGTGGTGCTGGTACAAGGTGAAGCCGCTGCTCGAGGCTTCAGGCCATCGTGTAACCGCCTTAGACCTAGCTGCTTGCGGTATAGACACTACCAGGTCAATCACTGAAATTTCCACATGCGAAGAATATTCTAAGCCATTGATGCAGCTAATGACTTCATTGCCGAATGATGAGAAGGTTGTGCTCGTTGGTCATAGCTTTGGAGGTTTGAGTTTAGCCATAGCCATGGATAAGTTTCCCGACAAAATCTCTGTCTCTGTCTTCGTGACTGCTTTCATGCCCGACACCAAACACTCACCATCTTTCGTCGAAGATAAGGTATATCTCGGTTATAAGCGACCAAATTTTGTTCTCTGTTTTAATAATCGGCCGCTTAGACGTCTTGACGGTCAAAACCACGTGGACGTCCAATTTTAGCCAAAACGGTTACAAGATTTTAGCCAAACGATTACAAAAATTGATCAACATAACTATTCCTTTTGTTCTATGCGTCCAATATGATTAGCCAGTCTAATCGTTCGATTAAACAGAGATTTCCATTTTGCAGCCTTGATTATTTGTGTCGTATATGCTATAACCATAGATCATATGTTAGACAATCAAATGTGTATGGTGAATTGGTACATATAGTTTGATTACATCTACTTTACTAAAAGTCCAAGTAATAGTTTCATTTTCGTGGACCTCGTGGTGATTAGAGTTTTACCATCATATCATTCTAAGATTCAACTTTGGTCTTATAGATCAAATTCTATTTAACTCTTAGTAGTTTTTTGAACCTGTTTCATTTTCATGACTGTCAAAGTTTTACTATCGTATGGTTATATACTTGTATAATTTAATTGTATTAAACTTGAAAAATAAATATGATTTTTTTTGTAATTACTATGTAAAAGTTTGCAATAAGCAACATGACACCAGAAGGATGGATGGGCACTGAGCTCGAGACGTATGGTTCAGAGAATTCTGGCTTGTCTGTGTTATTCAGCACTGACTTCATGAAGCACCGTCTCTACCAACTTTGTCCTATTGAGGTAATTTAAATTTATCATCATCATTTTTAACAAAATTAATCATCACCATCATAAATTAATGATACTAGTATTCATGCATGAATATGGTAACCTTGATTTAGGATCTTGAGCTTGGATTACTTCTAAAGAGGCCTGGATCATTGTTTATTAATGAACTATCGAGGATGAAGAACTTTTCTGACAAAGGGTATGGATCTGTTCCTCGAGCTTACATAGTGTGCAAAGAGGACAACATTATCTCGGAAGAACATCAACGGTGGATGATCGATAATTATCCGGCGGATTTAGTGATTGAGATGGAAGAGACAGATCATATGCCAATGTTTTGCAAACCTCAACTACTAAGTGACCATCTATTGGAAATCGCCGAAAAATTCTCTTAAATAATATTTTGATGAAAATGTATTTGGAGTTGATACATTAATCAAGTGTGTGTTCTAAAATAGATATTTCTAAAAGTTAAGACTTTATTCCTTACTATGGTTGCAATGAGAAACCTAACAGTCAATGTAGTATTGTAGTGTTTGTTTAGAGAAGGACCAGAAACTAACAGTCAATTTACAAAGAGTATGCGGAAAGTAACCGTCGATATATATAGGTGTTGAACCAAGATGTTGAAAGTAAAGAAGAAATAAAACAATGGAGAAAATCAACCAGAAGCGGTTTGTGCTCGTCCATGGGCTGTGCCACGGCGCGTGGTGTTGGTACAAGGTGAAAACGCATCTGGAGGCTGTAGGTCACTATGTGACCGCGATGGATCTAGCTGCATCCGGTATAAATATGACTAGAGTTGAAGAGACTCATACTCTCAAGGATTACTGCAAACCGTTGCTTGAGTTTCTCAGCTCGTTTGGCTCGGATGACGATAAGGTGATTCTTGTTGCTCATAGCATGGGAGGAATACCCGCTGCTCTCGCTGCTGATATATTCCCTTATAAGATTGCTTCTGTTGTTTTCTTGACGGCTTTCATGCCCGACACAAGAAACCCACCAGCTTATGTATACCAAAAGGTACATCAAACATGATAATTTGGTTGTGAGGTATGACCTCGTCCAAGTGGTTCTGATATTTTACTGAAATCCGCAGCTAATCAGAAGCGTCCCACAAGAAGGATGGTTGGACACCTTGTTTGGAACGTACGGGAAACCTGAATGTCCTCTAGAGTTTACTCTTTTTGGACCAAAGTTCATGGCCAAGAATTTGTATCAACTCTCTCCGGACCAAGTAAGACTCCATGCCTAACAAAAACCCAAATGGGATTTTCCTTGTAACCTCAGTCAATACTTGATTGATTATTGTTGTGATGACGGGTTAGGATCTTGAATTGGCGAAAATGTTGGTGAGAGTAAACCCCATCATTACAAATAATCTGGCAGGGACAAGAAGCTTCAGTGAGGAAGGGTACGGATCCATTACACGAGTATATATCGTATGTGGAGAGGACTTGGTAGTACCCGAGGATTACCAGTGTTGGATGATCAAGAACTTTCCGCCAAAAGAAGTAATGGAGATCAAGTGTGCAGATCATATGGCAATGTTCTCCAAGCCTCACGAACTATGTGCTCTTCTCTTGGAGATTGCATGTAAATATTCCTAAATAAACTTAAGATCGTCTCTACAGTAGTTTACAAAATTTAGCTTCAACTACAATTATAAGCAAATGATAATACTCGTTCAAAATTATTTCATGATTCTATCTTAAAAGCACTATTTTTAGTATTTTCTCTTTAAGGTAGATAAGAAAGCAAAAAAAGAGAAAAAAAATTGTAACTCCTAAATTTCTTTGATTATAGTGAAATCTGCACCATTGGAAAATGGATATAACTCTCATGTTGAGGATGAACATACGAATGGAAAAAAAAAAAAAAAAAAGATATATAAGTTTTCATTTTTGTTTTCTTTGTTATTTTTGGTAAATTTTATCTTTGCGTATTAGGCCCCATAAACAGATCATACGTTGACAATCTAACGTGTATGTGCTTGTACATGCAGTCTGCCACGGGGCGTGGAGTTGGTACAAGGTGAAAACACAGTTGGAGGCTGCAGGTCACTGTGTGACCGCGGTGGATCTATCTGCATCGGGTATAAACATGACCAGAGTGGAAGAGATTAAGACATTGATGGATTACTCCAAACCGTTGCTTGAGTTTATGAGTTCGCTTGGCTCGGATGACGATAAGGTGATTCTTGTTGCTCATAGCATGGGAGGAATACCCGCTGCGGTTGCAACTGATATCTTCCCTTGTAAGATTGCTGCTGTTGTTTTCTTGGCAGCTTTCATGCCTGACACAAGAAATCCACCTGCTTATGTTTTCGAAAAGGTACATATAAAAAAATGATGATTTGGTTGTACGTACGGAATATATGATCGCTTCCGAGTGATATATTTTGATAACTGACTGAAATCTTCAGCTGATCAGAAGCATTCCACGAGAGGAATGGTTGGATACCGTGTTTGGAAGGTACGGTAATCCAGATTGTTCTCTAGAGTCTGCTCTTTTGGGACCAAATTTTATGGCCAAGAAAGTGTATCAATTGTCTCCGGTAGAAGTAAGACTCCAAGCCTAATCAAACCTCTTTTTAACAAATGAGATTGCTAGTAACCTCATTTATTATTCTTTTGATTGTTATCGTTGGTTAGGATCTTGAATTGGCCAAAATGTTGGTAAGGGTAAACCCGTTGGTTACGAACAATCTGGCAGGGGCAAGAAGCTTTACTGAGGAAGGATATGGATCGGTTACACGTATTTATATCATATGTGGAGAGGACAATATAGTACCTGAGGACTACCAGCGTTGGATGATCAGTAACTTTCCGGTTAAAGAGGTAATGGAGATCAAAGATACAGATCATATGGCAATGTTCTCTAAGCCTCAAAAATTATGTGCTCTTCTCTTGGAGATTGCGGATAAATACGCGTAAATAAACCTGAGATCGTCATTGCAAATTAGTAATGAACTTCAGCTTCCACCTCAACAATAAGCCATATGAGAATACATTGTATCTATGAGAAATAATATTCATAAGAATGGTTTTATGAATAAAAGATTTATGAGAGAATTGTATTACATTGAGAAGCAGTTATAAGAATGGTTATATAAAATAAGATTCGTGATACAATTAAGTATATTGTATCACAAAAATCTATATGGTAAGCATACACAACATCCATTCTTCTCATTGGTAAATCCTGCGACCATAGAAGTTACATGATATCTAACTACTGGGACCGGTCCTGAGATTTCAAAAATATCTAAAGCAACACTAAAAATGTGGTTCCTTTCCATAAATTAATTTTTTTAATGTAAATATTTTCATAAAAAGACTTTATTATTACATGGATTTTTCACATAGTTCATTAAACTAATTTAAATAAATTTTGATGCATTAGATTTTTATATTTTAAATTAAATAAAATAAGATGAAAAAGAGAGAGAGAGTAAGAAAAGAATAATAATTTATGGGCCATTTACTTTCTTTTTTTGGCCATTCACATTAGAGAAAATGTAATATGAACCCATTGAGCCATCGATTATTTTAGAATACTGTCATCAAATTTCAGTATAAATGATGCCTAAAGTCCATGTTCTCTGAGGTTTAGTTCATAGAGAGGTATGAATCTTTTGTATTAAAGTTGTTGTATTAGGTCGACATTTAGCCAAACCTGTCACCACTAAAATTAGATTCTCCGCCCCAGCTCTTAGAGCAACATTATCAATAGACTCTTAATTTTGGCTCTTAGGAATATTTTAGTATTAATTTGTAAAAGTTATAGTTAAGAGATTGTATTTTTGTTTTAAGATTTTATATGTCTTTTAATGGTAGGCTTTTAACATGTGGTTCTTAGAAAAAAAAAATATTAATACAAAAATAAAATTTATAATTATAGAAAATTTAATAATTGTTGCAAATTAAAAAGAAATGTGATACTTTAATAATTGTGGCATCAGGTTTACCAGAGCTCTTAAGGTTTCTTCTCCTATGGAAAACCCAATAAAGCGGAGACGAACCTAAGATTATACCAACTAAGGAAAAGGGAAAAAGCAGCTGCTAGTGAAATAACCAGTCTCATGTTGTCACTATCTTGTTTATGCAATTTCTTCTCTCCCTGTTTCAAACCTGATCAACCAACCAAAGGCAAACAAACCGCATAAATCCTTCAGATTCAAGAAAATTTGGGAACTTTGCAGACTGATAGATTTGGAGGAAACCTTAGAAGTGGAATAGTTTCTCTCAATTTTATTGATTAGCCTACTAGGAATATTTATACAAAGTCATAACTTGATTAACAAGTTCTTTACATATGTGATAATAGGAAATCTATCTATTTAACAATAAGAATATATTTTACAATATTAACTTTCCTTTGAAGTCGATCTCGTAATCCTCGAGATCTTCTAATACCCTCCCGCAAGCTCATACGTGGTAACACGTATGAGATTGGAAAATCATCAAATCGTCTTCATGGTCTTCATACCCACTAATGGGTCATCAATTCGATGAAGGATACTAAAGTAGTTGTGTATCTCCATCGTCTTATGTCACCATGTGAACTGAACGAACCAACCAATTAGTCCATGCTCATAATTCACAGCAACATCATATCATCACCCCATTGGATCCGTATATATCCGTTGAAGTTCTTCATCTTTGTGGCTACATCGTATTTGTAGTTGATAGATAACCACATAAAAAAACTGAAAGAGAAAGATTAGTTATTGTCACTGAACCTGAACGAACCTTAGGCCTAGGCCTGGGCATAAAATCCCAAATCCGAAAACCGATCCGAAACCGATCTGAAAAATCCGGCTCCGAACCCGAACCGAATAGTCACAAAACCCGAACGGATAATAAATTCTCCTATCCGAATTATCCGAACCGAACCCGATCCGAACCGAAAACCGAAAAGATATCCGAAAACCGAAAATAAAATTACATATCTAAAAATATTAGTTATATTTAGCTATAATTTTATAACAAATGACAAAAATATTCTAAATAACCTAGATATTAGAAAATTTTTAGTTATATTTGTTAAAATAATACATAGTTTTGTAAAACTTAACCAAATTTTAGTAAGATTAAACTATTTTTATATTTAAATTGAACATTTTTTAGTTTTTTTCTTTTTCGAAAACCGATCCGAATCCGACACTATCCGAACCAATCCGATCCGAATAGTCATAAAATCCGGACGGATAATAAACTCTCCTACCCGAATTATCCGAATCCGAATAAATCTGAACCGAATCCGATCCGAAATCCGAATGCCCAGGCCTACTTAGGCCCATGCTCATGATTTATAGCAACGCAACCAAACCCCTCTTCTTCTTTTCTTTTCTTTTTTTTTTTTAATTTAGAAATCAATATGATAATATGAAAATATAGAGATAAAATAAGAAATCCAGCCATAAAGGTAAAAAAAATGAATCACGTAGAAAAACCAAAGCATATAGATTTTTTTTTTTTTTTTTTAAATCGCAGAAGTTAACGTAGTAAAACCAAATCCACAGAAAGGATCTTGGTTCTGATACCATGATAGATTTGGAGAAAACCTTAGAAGTGGAATAGTTTCTCTCAATTTTATTGATTAGCCTAATAGGAATATTTATACAAAGTCATAACTTGATTAATAAGTTTTTTACATATGTGATAATAGGAAATCTACCTATTTAACAATAAGAATATATTTTACAATATTAACTTTCCTTTCAAGTCGATCTCGTAATCTTCGAGATCTCCTAATCCAGACCTCCAAATCAAATTCGGATTCAAGAAACAATCAAACTGAATTTAACGAAGGAAAATGGTCTCTTTAATAAACAAATCGAAAATCGAATGAAAAGTTGGAACTTTACGGCAGAGACATGATTTTGGGATAAGAGAGAAGAAGATTCCGATTCGAGTCCATAAACACAAATCGCCTCCGGTTTCTTCTTTTTTTCAAATCGCGATTTGAGAGAGAGAAAAAAAAAACACGGATCCGTTTTTTTTTTTTTGCTTATATATTAAACCTAACACCCACTAATAACGTGCCACGTGTACACGTTTCGTAGTTTTATACAAGATTTTCAATTTAATTAAATTCAACTTTATACCTAAGAACTATCTAAGATATACCACAGTTAATCATGCTGTAAGAACCTACCAAGGACGACTCTTGACAGATGCAAAAATACAATGGTATCACAGTCACTATCACTCCCCAGCACCGCGAATTTTCTAGCTCCTTGAACTATGTGCTCTTCTCTTGCAGATTGCGGATAAATATGCCTAAACAAACCTGAGATCTTCACTGCATTATACTTACAAAATTCAGCTTCCACCACAATACCAAAGCCATATGTGAGTGATCTAAGTGACTACATTATGTATGTATAAGAAATAAGCAAATGATATTATTCGTAAGAATAGTTATATAAATAAGAATGTAAGAAGAGGATAACACACTACCTGAAGATTTCCAGCGTCGAATTATCAAAAGATGCAGATTGTATGCCCATAAACCTGCATATCTTAAAATGGAATTCAGCTTCTAACCACAATAAGCAAAGATGGTAGTGATATGTCATTATGTAAGCAGCTGAAAATACATACATGAGATGAACGAGCAAAGGGAGAATGTTAGCATTACGAATAGGAGTAAGGTTAACGAGCAAAAATAAAATAAAATAAATGTCCTCCTAGTCATATTGAAGTCCTTATGATCATAGGCTCATAGCTACAAGTTTCTACTGAGTGAAAACTAATAGTCAATAAAATGATAGTGAGACTTAACTGTCAAAAGAATAGATGAACAAAGAGGAGATCAAAGATGCAGATCATATGCCAATGTTCTCCAAACCTATAGAACTATGTCCTCTTCTCTTGGAGATTGCAGATATATACGCCTAAATATACCTGAGATCGTCACTGCACATGAGTAACAAACTTCAACTTCCACCACAACAATATGCCATATGAGAAACAACATTCAGAAGAATGATTTAATTAATCAGTTATATGAATGGATATGAATAAGATTTCGTGAAAATACTTTACAACGTGAGAAGCAGTTACAACGCCTCTAGATTTCAAATTAAGAAACTTCAATAGTAACATCATAAAAGAGGGACTTCAACATCTTACAGAAGACTAATTTTTTGTCTGTCCATGGAAGTATCACCCACCCAGATTCTACCAATGTAATGTGAAGATCTAATATGTACAATTAACGCTCTAATTGTAATAAACATATTCCTAGAGTCTCCATTGTATCCCTATATATTTGTACATCTCTTCTCTAATAAAGCATTCACTTTTGAAAACTATATGGTTTCAGATACCCTAAGGAAAAGAAAAACTAAAATTTTTACAATCTCTCTTTTCAAAACCTTATTCCTGCCAATACAAAGGCCACTGAAGCAATCACCACGAACTCCAACACGCCAACGAACTACCTCATATCGAGTCTACAAGTCCAGCAACAAAAAATGTGAAATCTAACAGTCAATGGATCTCAGAGAACGACCAAAAACTAACAGTCAATATACAAAGAGTATATGTGGGAAACTCACCATATATATATAAGTGTTGAACCAAGATACTGAGAGTAAGAAAGGCAATGGAGAATAACAACCAGAAGCGGTTTGTGCTCGTCCATGGGGTGTGCCACGGCGCATGGACTTGGGACAAGGTGAAAACGCAGCTGGAGGCTGCAGGTCACTGTGTGACGGCAGTGGATCTAGCTGCATCGGGTCTAAACATGACCAGAGTGGAAGAGATTCAGACTCTAAAGGATTACTGCAAACCGTTGCTTGAGTTTCTGAGCTCGCTTGGCTCAGATGACGATAAGGTGATTCTTGTTGCTCATAGCATGGGAGGAATACCGGCTGCACTTGCTGCTGACATCTACGCTTGTAAGATTGCTGCTATAGTCTTCGTGACAGCTTTCAGGCCCGACACAAAAAACCCACCTGTTTATGTTTACGAAAAGGTACATAAATGAACATAATTTTATCTGAGTGACATCTCTTCTGAGTGATTCTGATACTTGACTGAAATCTGCAGCCAGAAGCATTCCACAAGAGGAATGGTTGGACACCGAGTGTGGAACCTACGGGACACCTGATTGTCCTCTACAGAGTACTCTTTTGGGACCAAAGTTTATGGCCAAGAAAATGTATCAACACTCTCCAGTTCAAGTAAGACTCCAATCTTAAAAAAAAAAAAGCAAATGGGATTGTGCTAGTAAGCTCAGTCAATCTTTTGTTGATTGTTGTTGTGGCGAATAAGGATCTTGAATTGGTGAAGACGTTGGTGAGGACAAATCCGATAGTTACAAACAATCTGGCAGGGACAAGAAGCTTCAGTGAGGAAGGGTACGGATCCGTTACACGTATATATATTGTATGCGGAGAGGATCTTGTGGAACCCGAAGATTACCAGCGCTGGATGATCACGAACTTTCCGCCAAAAGAAGTAATGGAAATCAAATGTGCAGATCACATGCCAATGTTCTCCAAGCCTCAAGAAGTTTGTGCTCTTCTCCTGGAGATTGCAGATAAATATTGCCAAACTTAACCTGAAATCGTCCCTGCAAATAAGTTACTAACTTCATCTTGCACCAATAATAACGTCATATGAGAATACATATGTATGAGAATTAAGCAAATGATAATACTTATAAGAAAAGTGTTATAAATAAAGTTTTGTGAGAAAACTGTATTACATAGCGAAGAGTGAACTGCAATATCTGCATTGCACAACATCACCATAAGCAATTTCGCAGAGCAATTTCTAAATCTCTATACTATTAAAAGAGAAGTACAAATGAAAATGGGTCGGGTTAAAATTAGAAAATTGACCCGAAATTCTGAAATCGGATCTTTGAAATTTTTTTGAAATATAAATTCGAATTAATAATAAAAAATCGAAATAAAATCAAATATTTATGGAAATAAAATAAAATCTGATTGTACTTATGGTAACTAATAATAATAGCATATTCCAAACAATATTATACATTAATTACGTATAATAAATTTGCTCATATATTTTTGGGACTAATTCCATAACAATCAACGTTTTTGTCATTAATTTCGCTCATTTTAGCCAATTATCATTAATTGAAAGATATTTTACTTGCTTCTAAAGATTTCTAGAAAATTTATCACAAATAACCCATCTATTTTATAAATTAAATTGATATTTTTATTTTGGTCGTGTAAATTAAATAGATATTTTTATTTTGGTCGTGTAAATTAAATAGATATGAAATCCATGTAACTAATTTTAATTTAATTAGATTAAATCGAAATTATGATATTTTCATACCTATAGCTTACCAAAGAAGTTTAATTTTCAATTTATAAAGATTTCTTGAATATGATTTTAGAATTATTCAACAAGATGATAAGTATTTATTAAATTTTGTGAATCATGAAAAATAATAATTAATTTTTAATCATTATACTTCATCTTTCAATCTCTCATCTAACAAATAAGATACATATTCTATTATTACTATGTCCAAACTTCATTTTGTTGTATGACTAAATAATATTCTCATTAGAACTGTCAAAGCGAGTTGATTCGTCCCGTTAAGTCCGTTTTGCGATAGACAAAAAATATTTTGACTTGTAATTAGTCGGTCCGCACGACCCACGGGTAGCATATATGAAATACAAACCCGTCCCGCGAATGTATGCGGATTTGCGGGATTGTCCATGGATTTTGTTTAAATAATTTTAAAGTAACCAAAATTTAAAATACTACTAAAATAAATAAATAAATCAAAATACTATTAAAAGTTTGTTTAAATTACCACATGTTGAATAAATTATAATTTTATCAATAAATATTAATATGCGGGCTGATCCGCCAACCCGCGGATGAAAACCGATTATACCTATGATCCACTGCGAATTAATCCATGTGGCCCGCTTATTTGCGGGTTTAATATATTTTCCCAAATCTGCCCTATAGTGAGATGATGTGGGCTGGACCCGCGGTTTTTGACCTATTTTTACTGCTTTAATTCCCATGAATCGTCTAATTTTAGAATTTTAAAACACAAAATTCTATTTTGTAAATCATAATTATTACGATGGGTATATTTATAAACAATTTTACATTTTCTCTACAATTCGTTATTATGAATATTTATAAGTATACTACACGATTCGTTCTACTAAAAACACACACAATATTAAACGCAACATATGTAAACCAATATTCTCCCGCGGTGGACCGCGGGTCCGATCCTAGTGCAACCTGTAAAACAACAGAACAATATTCCAACTGCACTGATCCAAGAAAAGCTAAAACTTTTCATCAAATTTCGTCTACCATTAGACAACTTTAAGCACTAAAGCAAAGAAAAACTAGAGGAGAAAACGGAAAAAGAATCTAGGCTAATGAGAGAAAAAAAATAACTTCATATAATTAACTAATTCACAGGGTGAAGATCGGCCAATTTGGTACTGTAATTCACTAATACGCCTGCATCTGTAAACAAATACAACTGATCAGAGAGGAAAACCGTCATTTCAAAAGAACATCAACGATGAAAGATTGATAATTATCCGGCGATAGAGATGGAAGACAAAGATCATATGCCAATGTTCTGCAAGCCTCAACTACTAAGTGGGCATCTCTTGGAACTTGCAGACAGCTACCAGCGAAACTAATTACTAATAGTCAAAAAAATAGATGACAAAGAGGCTAAAAAGAGAATGTATATAACCAGGAGCGGTCTCTGCTTGTTCGTGGGCTGCTAGGGTGCATGAAATTAGTACAACTGAAGCTTTCAAGAAGAGAAGGTAGAGATTGGTTACATCTGTATTTATTGAATGCAAAGATGCAGATCATATGTCCATTCCATGTTATCAAAATCCTCAAGAACTCTTGAATCTAGGATCGCCACTGATATTGTTTATACGAATCAGAGTTCTTATATTGAGGTCCATAAATATAAACACCCCCAAAGATTATGCTCTAAGATTATATTCAATCCAGAGGGCGACCTACTAACTAACTAACTCCATCAACACTCTACCGACATAAAACTAACAGTCAATGTAAAATTGGTGTACCATTCTGTAGACCTCAGACAACAGCCACAAACTAACTAAAGTTGGTTTACCAGTCCCTGGAACTCAGAGTACAAGGGATACTAACTCTAACCGTCAATAAGGTGTTGAACAAAGAAGCTGAAGAGAAAAACCAGAAGCAGAACCATAACCAATTTCCAAATACAAGAAGATGAGAACAACAGAACAATGTGGCTTGCATCAAACTCCACTGCACTAATCTAACCTATTGTTTCTCAATTAGATTCAAGAAAAGACGAAACTTTTCATCAAATTTCCTCTAACCTTTATACAATTTCAAGCACTGAAGGAATAAAACTAAGAATCTAAAGCAGATGCTTTTGCTGCTGCTATTAATGTAGCGAAAACGACGACGTTTTTGTAGGAATTTCTACGGTTGCTGCGGTTTAGAGAAGAAGGGGATGGTGCTCTGCGGCTGAAACGACTGCAAATTTGCTGCCTTTGCGTCGAAATGGAGGACCCACATTCCTGAGTTTCCGTCGCCGGCGACATTAACGGAAAATCCCTAGACAGAGAGAGAGCCAGTGTTTAGCAAACCGGGTCGGACCGACCCACCGGAAATGGTTGCCGAGTCTAGATTATATATTAAAATTGGTTTAACTGAACCGTATTTCAATATCAAAACCAAAAAAAAAACCTGGTACACAAAAATTCAATCACTAGTCATTAACTTTTTACTAATCTGAGTTTTTGTTTTTGTTTTTTTTTTTATCAAAGACTAATTTGAATTTTTGAACCACCTTTTTAGTTTTATAAATTAGTTTCTATTTTCTGTTTAATTATTTATTTTTATTAGAAGTACATTTTTTTTAATTTGTTATCTATATATAATTGAAGTTATGCGAATGTTGTATCTTCAGATTCATCATTCATCGTTCTATATATAGAGGTAAAAAAGATAAATTTACTGTGTTCACATAGTGATAGTTGACTCCACATAAATTATGTAACATTTATCACATGTGTATGCGTATATTTTTGACATTGTGAGAACTGAGAAGTCTCACTTGTTGATTTTTGTAACCGTTTTTATTTTCTCTTTAATATTTTCTTTTTATTAGAAGTACATTTTTCTTTTGATTTGTTGTCTATTTTTGTTATTCATAAATAAACATATCTTATTGTTATATTAATAAAAAAAAATCTATAATTCGGTCTCCATCGATCGGACTAGCTACCAATACGGCAATACCATATAACAATGTCGAATCAGTGTCCGCTCCGATTTTGAAAACTTTGGAAAAAGAGGTGATCCAGTTCCAAATAATGTATGTGTAACTTAAATTTTATCACATCTTGACAAAACAAAAGCATTCTCACTAAATCAAACACAACAACACATACATACAAAGAGCAATCTTAACTTGGCGTATCCCAAACGTAAATGCAAGAAATTATGTATATAAATCTCCAAAGGGACATTTAGTTCAACAAACAATCAAATCACATATCTCTAAGTTTGCTGAGATTAACAGGAGATATAACTTTTGTATCACCATATAACAATTGCTTTGCGATGATAACATTTGCTGCTTCACTCGGGTGATAAGGATCCCAAAACACATATTTATCCCTCTCTTCACACAAACTCGAAGTCGGTCCGCACGGAATTATACCCGCGTATTGTCCTCCATTACCGCAACAAGCCTTTGTCGCAGATTTGAACCCTACCAAGTTTATAAATCCAAAAATCTACATATCATTTCTTAAAACGTTGTATATATGGTAGTGTGCGTGTGTGAGTTGTAGAAGACAAAAAATATATTTTACCGTATTTATCGTAGTTAGTAATGAGCTCCATGACCAGATCGTAGACGTTGGCATGGACGAACATTGCTCCGGGAAGTTTCTTGTTTAGTTCCTCTAATAAACTCTTTAAACGAACATTGTATTGATTTGCTAGCTTATTAGCCAAATCCACACACTCGTTTTCTTCTAATTGATTGATCGTTTTCTGGTATGGTATGCATCCAATCGGTCCAACGTTCCCGATCACAAACTTCCTCGCATCCAATTGATACAGCCTCTGTATTTTAAACCATGATGAAATGCTATGATAACAAATGAACAAAACAAAAACTCTCTAAATTTAGTTCGATGGATGAGATCAATATTTTGTCGCTTACGGTTAGTTGGCCGCGTAGATGTTCAAGCATGTCGCCGATGAAATCATCGGGAGTTTGACTGAACCGTGTTCCGACGGAGAGAAGTGGGAATAGATAATTGTTGAGGAAATCATTTGCTCCTATAGTGATTGAGAATATCGATTTCTTTCCTATGTACTCTTTTGCTTTCTCTTTTCCAAGTAGGTCATCAAACTGTTTCCGTGTAGTGTTGAAGAAATCAACTTGTACATCCATACCTAACCTATTCACCTACCAGATATTTACAATTTCATAAAACTTCAGAACTCTAAAATGAATATAAGAAATTTTCAAATCCAAATATGATTAAAATTAGTTTGGTACATACAAAGATTCTCCCGGTGGCATTCATGATTCCTCCTCCTCCTGATGCATAATTCACACCGGCTAATAAAGCTTTTCCCTTCGCGTTTGGTGCCAAGAATGGGACTGCATAGTTCGCTGATCCGAGTTCTTCCCCTGAAAAATCGTAAAATCAAATTTAACGTTTTATATAGAAGTATAGAACCATTTATATCGAAATTCAACATGTATATAGATCAAATAAACGTATCAACATTACAACAATTTAATCATTTTAACCAAAAGAAATGAACATCTCAACAAAAGAGTAATAAAACGTCAACAGAAATTTGTAGGTGTGTTAGTTGAATATAATCTCTAGACTAATAATGTATACCGCATATATCATTTACTATATATGGGTTATAGAATATATATAGATTGATATATTGATGATACCAACGATGTCACCGATGGTCCGGCCATTGGTGAACCGGCCGGTAGGATTTCCTCCGGAGGCTTTGAAATCAATACCATTAGGCTTCATATTGGCCCTAGACAACGTCGATAGATAATTATTATTTCCGGCATCGACTAGAGAATCTCCAAATATGAAAGAAGCTCCTAATCCGCTGCCTTTGTTATCATTGTTAACTCCACGACCAGCAGCTTCCACTGAAGCAGTGAGAGTTAAAAGGAAGAAGAAGGCGAAGTAGAGAGTCATGTCCATGGCTGAGACTCTGCTTGAAGTAGAAGCTCTTGTGGCCATATCTCTTGATTTTGAAAAACTTTAGTGTTATTGTTTGAGATTTATAGAATAAGATAAGAAAGTGTAGTTTGGGATCGAAGGAAACTTGTAAGATTGAGTTTAATTGGCTAAAATGAATTTGGTTTGACTCTTTTGTTATAAATGGAGGCTTCAAAAATTTTCAAGTGGTGGTTCATCAACGTGGTCAAGTTTTTCCTCTTGCTAGTGAGAAAATAACGACTAGACCTTTCATTCGTTGGACGCTTGAACTCTCTGTATTCAGACTCATAATTCAAAGTAGTTCAAATTTGTTGGAACAGTAATTAATGAAAAGTGTCTCCAATTTTTTTATTTTTTTGTCGGCCAAGAAGTCTCTCTATAGATGAAGAATTACCAGTAGTTCAATTTTTTTTTTTGTTAATCATACAATTTTTTTTTGTTAATTAAGCAAATTTTTTTTTTTTTTTGAGGGGTGTTTATAAGTTTTGCCATTTGGCCAAAAAACCTTTCAAAATGCTATTTTTAATATACAAAAACACAAATTTACACATGATGCTTGAGTTTATTAGTTTCCAATTTTTTTAGGATATAGTTTTTGTTATGAAGTATGTGTTTAATGAAAAAAAATTCTGAAATCTTTAGTTTTTTCTTTTCACAAGTAGCAAAAATGGTAAATTTGAAAATTATTAAAAAATGATTATTTTTTTGAAAAATGATCATGCCATTTTTGGACAACAATCCCGTTTTAAAAAAACTAATTAGGATAATAAAATATTTTAAACTGTAAAAAGTAAAAGCTTACACAACTTTCCATATTTCCACTATTTAATTAGCTGTATTGCAATTAAAAAAAACAAAAATATATATATTTTTTAAAAGATTAAGTCCCATCATTAGGGTACAGAAGCTACTAAACACCCTCAAAACACAATTCCCCATTTCACTGAGCACATTTTTCAAATAATAAATCCGACCGTTGCTGTAACATCACCACAAACAAAATAAAAATCTGAACTTTTATCATTTCTCCAGAGAGCTCTAAAAATCTGAAACCCAGTAGATTCATCGTCATCATCATGCTCACCATGAGAACCAAAGCACAAGATTCAACCCCCAAAACAAACCCTAACCCAGAATTAATCCATGAAACCCCAAAGGTCTCTCTTTACGAACAATGCAGAGAAGAGAGGATCAAAGAGAATCTTCAGAGGATGCAAAATTTGGGTATCTTGAATCTCTCTCGCAAACTCAAACCCCAGACCCGACCCGTTAAAAGATCTTATGGTAACCCTAATTCCTCTCAGAATCCGACTCCTCCTCTTCAGCCTTCTCGTCGATCTTCTCGGTAATCTCTTTGATTCTCTGTCTCTGTTTCTCTCTTTCCATCTGAGTCGATTTTGAAAAAAGGGTTTTTGAGTAGGAATTAGGGTTTATGAATCGATTAGTTTCAGTTTAAAGGAGAGATTTTTATGGAGGAATTGGGGTTTTTGAGTAGGAATTAGGGTTTATGAATCAAAATTAGGGTTTGTGAATCGATTTGTCTCAGTTAAAAAGATGGGTTTTTTTTTTATGGAGGAATTAGGGTTTTTGATTGCTTGTTCTTGTGTGATTGTTAGATTGGAGAACACAACTCCAGTAATCTACACTGATGGGATCTATGAGAAGGGTAAGAAAACATCTAAACGAGAGAGTGTGGTGGTGATTGGTGAAGGGACAAGAGCCGAGATTTACACAGAGGAACATGAGAAGCTTCTTGGGAATACAGAACGAAGCTGGACTTGTTTTGTTGATGGTTATGATAAGAATGGTAAACGGATTTATGATCCGTTTAACGGTAAGACTTGTCATCAATGCAGGTAAGAACCAAACCCATGTGTTGCTATTGCAATTCTTTGAAACGCAATTTGCTTAATGCTTCAGTGTGTTTATGTGTGTGTCTTACAGGCAGAAAACGATGGGATATCGTACACAGTGCAGCGAATGCAACCTGGTTCAAGGACAATTCTGTGGTGATTGTTTGTTCATGAGGTTGGTTGCTACTTAATATGATTTACTAGCAATGGAGTTTTTCTGTTATTGGTAGTGAATGTATTTTATTCTTGTTGATAAACAGATATGGTGAACATGTGCTTGAAGCTCTTGAGAATCCAAACTGGATTTGTCCTGCTTGTCGGGGGATTTGCAATTGCAGCTTGTGCCGGAATAATAAAGGATGGGTTCCAACTGGCCCGATTTACAGAAGGGTGCGTTGTTTTCTTTCGTATTATCTTGTTGGTTTTTCGATTCTTGAATAGAATCAAGAGCTTAAGATTTCTTTCTTTATTGAGATTCTAGATAGCTGCACTTGGGTATAAGTCTGTAGCACATTATCTGATTCAAACCAAACGGGCGCAAACTCAAGATGCAGCCCCAAATCAAGCTTCTGCAAAGAGATCACTTTCCTTTCAAGGAATGATTGCTGATGATGAAGAAGTACCAACGCTTGAGAATGATGATTCCTTGCAGAAAGAGGAAGATGAAAACACAAACGAAAATCAGAATGGTGATCTCCCTGAAGAAGTACAAAAGCTTCAGAATATCGAAAATCAGAGTGGTGATTCCTTGAAGAAAGAGGAGGATGAGACTCCAAATTCAGCTAGAAGGTCACTGAGCTTCTTATTGCCTTCTGTTGATGATCAAACTTCGTTCGTGGATGTTCAGGTCTTAAGTTGTCTTGAGCCACCAAAGCAAGAACATTCATGTGCCCACAATGGTGATGATCTTCCAGAAGTTCGGGAAAAGATAGGACGAAACTCGAATTTGGAGATGCTACCAGATAGCGACTTGCTTCCTGTAGATGATCAGACTCCATTTGTTAATGTTCAGGTCTTGAGTTATCTTGAGACGCCAAAGCAGGATAAACAAGAACATTCATGTGCCCACAGTGGTGATGATCTTCCAAAAATTCAAAAATGGACAGGACAAGACCCGAATTTGGAGACAAGACCAGTTAGCTACTTGATTCCTATGGATGATCAAACTCCATTGGTGGATGCACAGGTCTTGAGTTATCTTGAGACGCCAAAGCAGGATAAACAAGAACATTCATGTGCCCACATTGATGATGATCTTCCAGAAATAGAAGAAGGGACAGGACCAGATTTGAATTTGGAGACAAGTTTTGGGGAAAGCCAGACCATTGTTGTCAAAGCTCAGAACGAGGTCATATGCGATGAGACTGAGACCGGGGGTAAGTCAGTGAGTACTCGAGTAACGAGAAGTAAGAGGAAAGCGGCCCTCGAACCTAATCCAAATAGCATTGGTGGAAGACTAAGGCAGCGTCGAAGGAGCCAAAGTGGATTTTAGAAGAAGTTTCAGAAGGAAAATCCAACGTATTTTGTTAGTCTAAATTGTTAAGCTCTCTTTTCGACTTGACCCTCTCTGTTTGGTTTTGTTGCACATAAGCTCTGTTTGGTTTTGTTGCTTATGTGCAAGCAACTTCAAAATCTAAGCTTAAGCTCTTTTGTTTCTAACGGATTAAATTGAGACTCCTTGTAAGACTCTTTTGTTTAAACTCTAGTTAATCTATTATTTAAGGATTAGGAAAAAGAATCTTATAAGATCCAAATCTCTTATTTAAAAGATGTTAAGTTTAAGAACTAGAAATATTTTCTCAATTTTAATTTAGAATGTAAACTTATTAGAAGTCTCTAAACCAAAAATCTCCAAACTTTAATATTACAAAAATACTTTCAAGTACACTAGGAAGAATCTCATAAAGTCATTTGTAATTGCCAATTTTTTCCGAATTAAAAGCTACTAATAATAATAACACATAAAATTATAAGAGCACACGCAGTGGAGTACTCAACACTCGGGTGTTAGTTATAAACAAATGAAAAATAATGTAAATTTGGGCTAAGACACAAAACAAGGGTGCAAGTTTACACTCAAGTGTAAAGTATTATAAAAATAGAAAAAAATTTCTTCTTTCTATCTCTCTCTATCTCTCCCTCTCTCTCTCTTTTCTCTATCTCTAATTATAATAATAAAAAAATATTTACACCCCACTAACACACATCCACTCAAGTTTACCATTGCTTATGCTCTAAGCTATTTGAATAAATATTCTGCAATTTTTTTTTTCATAAATGTGGAGTCTAAAAAAGAGCAAGAATCTTCCCACTGTTCTCAACCTAACATATTTAATACATTTGGTCTCCTTACCCAACACTCCCAACATATCAAAATTAAAGCTTTTTACTTTCTTAAATTGAATACGAAAATATATTTTTTTCTAAATAAGTTACCAAAATGAACTTATAAATCCCAAATGTGGTGAGGACAGTATTTTCTAAATATACTTTTTCCCTTTTTTTCTTTGCTTACAGAAGTTGACTAATTCCTACATTTTTTTCAGGGCACAAAATAAGACAAATATCAGTTTTCTTAAGTAAAAAAATATAATTTCTGTTTTGTTTGACTCTAATTAAAATAAGCACTTTAAACAATAAACATTATATAAAATTACTGTCTATTCACAATGCAGAAAATGAGCTTACTAATATCTTTCATTCGAATAATAGAAAATCAAATGATTACAGAAACTTAATTAATTAAGCTTCTCAAAACCCTAACGCCACCACTACTCTGCTTCTATGGAAAAAAAGTCAATGACTTTTTGACCCAAGGATTAGAGAGAGAAAGGCACTGAGTAGAGAGAGAGAGAGAGTGTGTTGTGTAGTAAATGAGACGAGAGATTGGTGGTGAAAGGAGTCAGCTTTGCATTTATTATCATCATCTTCTTCTCTAAAATCTTCCCAAAAAAAAAAAATACAGAGCAAAAGCTTTCACATAATTCATCTTCTTCCTTTCACAATTTTGGGATCTGACTGTTTGTTTGAAAATTCTGCTAATTCTCTTCCGTGAAAGTCGTCTACTTTTTTGTGGGTTTTGTGAAAGTTTCCGTTTTTAGTGGCTTCTCTTGATCTGCTTCAAGATCTTCACTTTTTAGGGTTTTTCCTCTTATGGGCTAGAGAAAAAGAAAAAAGAACCCTTTTTTTTTGTTACCCTTCTTCTGAAATTGAGATTAATGCATTTTCCTTTGTGGAAGCAAATTCATCACTGTGCTACTCTGATCTTAGATAAGAGTAAGAGTAGGAGAAGAGATGGTTCTGATTCACCAATTGATGTTAGAAGAAAAGCTTCAATGCTTAGGAAATTGTATGAAGATAAGCTTAGAGATGCTCTTGAAGAAGCATCTGAGAATGGGTTGCTCTTTAAATCTCAAGAAGTTGAGAAAGAGAATCAAGATGAGAGCTTAGGTCGTTCTAGATCTTTGGCTAGGTTACACGCTCAACGTGAGTTCTTACGTGCTACTGCTTTAGCTGCTGAACGCACTTTTGAGTCTGAAGATGACATACCTGAGCTTCTTGAAGCTTTTAATAAGTTTCTTATTATGTATCCAAAGTTTGAGACTTCTGAGAAAGTTGATCAGTTGAGATCTGATGAGTATGGTCACTTGTTGGATTCAAAGGTATGTCTTGATTACTGTGGCTTTGGGCTTTTTTCGTATGTTCAGACTTTGCATTATTGGGATTCTTGTACGTTTAGTTTGTCTGAGATTACTGCGAATTTGAGTAACCATGCTCTTTATGGTGGAGCTGAGATTGGAACTGTGGAACATGATCTCAAGACTAGGATAATGGATTATCTTAATATACCTGAGAGTGAGTATGGTCTTGTTTTCACTGGAAGTAGAGGCTCTGCGTTTAGGTTGCTTGCGGAATCTTATCCTTTTCATACGAATAAGCGGCTTTTGACAATGTTTGATCATGAGAGTCAGTCTGTGAATTGGATGGCTCAGACTGCGAGAGAGAAAGGTGCGAAAGCTTATAACGCTTGGTTTAAATGGCCAACTTTGAAGCTGTGTTCCACGGATTTGAAGAACCGTTTGTCTCATAAGAAGAGGAAGAAGAAGGATTCTGCGGTTGGGTTGTTTGTGTTTCCTGCGCAGTCTAGGGTTACGGGTTCTAAGTACTCTTACCAGTGGATGGCTCTTGCTCAGCAGAACAACTGGCATGTGTTGCTTGATGCTGGTTCTTTAGGTCCCAAAGATATGGATTCGCTCGGTTTATCGTTGTTTCGACCAGAGTTTATCATCACCTCGTTCTACAAGGTCTTTGGGCATGATCCTACAGGTTTTGGTTGTCTGTTGATTAAGAAGTCGGTGATGGGTAATCTTCAGAGTCAGTCCGGGAAAACAGGATCGGGAATTGTGAAGATCACACCTCAATATCCATTATATCTCAGTGATTCGATAGATGGTCTGGACGGATTGGTTGGTCTTGAAGATCATGACGTTGGTGCAAATGGTGATAAACCAGCCACCACAGAGGCTGCTCGTAGAGGTGCTCAGATGCCGGTATTCTCTGGTGCATACACTTCAGCTCAAGTGAGGGATGTGTTTGAGACAGACCTCTTAGAAGATAATGCCTCTGATAGAGATGGGACTAGTAGTACCATATTTGAAGAAAATGAAAGTGTTTCTGTTGGAGAACTGATGAAAAGCCCAGCTTTCAGTGAAGATGAGTCATCTGATAATTCCTTTTGGATTGATTTGGGTCAAAGTCCGCTTGGGTCTGACCGTGCGGGTCACTTGAACCACCATAAAATCGCCTCTCCATTGCCACCGTTTTGGTTTACCAGCAAACGGCAATCACCAAAACCGGTAGCAAAGAGTTACAGCAGTCCTATGTATGATGGTAAAGATGTCCTCTCGTTTGATGCTGCAGTTATGTCAGTTACTCAGGAGACAAACTCAACGCCATCACGGAATCCGAGGAACTCTAATAATTTCCAAACTCAAGAGATACAGGAAGAAAACTGCGGTAACATTGTGTATCGCGCAGGATCTGGTTTTGGATCAAATGGCTCAAGCTCCAAGATTTCTTCAGATATGAAAGATAACGCAATTAGACGAGAAACAGAAGGTGAGTTTAGGTTATTGGGAAGAAGGGGTACTGGTGGGAGGCTTTTGGGTGTGGAAGATGAACAACCAAGCAGAGGAACACGGGTTTCATTTAACATGGACCGTGTCAGTCATAGTCTGGACCAAGGTGAAGCTTCTATGGCCAGTGTATATGACGAAAGTGATGGTGAAAACCCGAATGAGGATGATTGGGACAGAAGGGAGCCCGAGATTGTTTGCAGCCATATCGATCATGTGAATATGTTAGGTCTTAATAAAACCACAAGTAGGCTCAGATTTCTGATTAACTGGCTTGTGATCTCTTTGCTACAGCTGAAAGTGCCTGAACCAGGCAATGACGGTAGCAGCAGATACATGAATCTTGTGCAGATTTATGGCCCAAAGATAAAGTACGAAAGAGGAGCAGCAGTTGCTTTCAACGTAAAAGACAAAAGCAAAGGGTTTGTAAGTCCAGAAGTTGTTCTTAAACTGGCTGAGAGAGAAGGTGTATCTCTTGGTATTGGTATCTTGAGTCACATACGCATAATGGATCTTCCGAGAAACCACCGTGGGGGCGCTAGGATCAAGGAAGATAGTTCTTTGCATCTGCAGAGAGAAGCTGGTAAACGCGGTGGAAAAAATGGGTTTGTGCGGTTTGAGGTTGTCACAGCTTCTCTCAGCTTTTTGACAAACTTTGAGGATGTTTATAAGCTATGGGCTTTTGTCGCCAAGTTCTTAAACCCCGGTTTCAGCAGAGAAGGTTCGCTCCCAACTGTAATTGAAGAAGAAGCAGAAGATTCAGAGACGTGATTGATTCTTTGAAAACTTTTTGAAACCCGCTGCATCAAGAATTCGCCTTTTTGTGATAATGCCTTGAGCCACTAACAACATCCTAGAGGCTTCTGGAAATGAAAGGAGGGTAAAAAGTAAAACTGTGAATTAAGATTTGCTAAATATAGTTTTTTTCGTATTGCTCTGTTTCAGTTTTTAGGAATATGAGATAGGAGGACAATTCTTGTCAACTGGAAAGCAGAACATGTTTTGGCCAAATATTTCCACTTTTGGAGAAGGGAACACAGTTAAGCATAGGCCTGAGATTTATATCCGTTATCTGCAGATATCCGTATCTATACCCGGTTTTTGATCCGAAAAAACGGATATCCGGCCGAACGGATGCGGATAGTAAAATGACGAATATCGCGGATACGGATATAAATACGAATAATCCTAAAATTTGGGCTGGATAATTTTTAAATTTTAAAAAAAAAAAAAAAAAAAAATTTGTAACTTAAAAGCCTTAATGACTTCATCCTTCAAGTGTTAAAGCCCAACAAAATTTGTAAACCCAACTTTTTTAATTATTTTTATTTTATTTTCAATATTAATAAATAAATCATAGGACAAAAAATAAAAATAAATTATAAAAATTAAAAAGAATTAGAGAAGTTAATTAATGTCTTTTTTTTTTTTGTTTAAGAACATCATTTGAATCTTTTGAACCTTTTGCTACTTTAATAAATTCTTTGTTTTTGAAATGTTTTGCATGTTTAATCAACTTCTAGCTATTTTATGAATTTTTAAAGCTTTTTATGTATGATATTAATGAATTTAGGATTTTAAAACACTATTTCTAAATATTCGCGGATATCCGGATTTTTAACGGATATCCGGTATCCGGATATCTGGAATTTCTGAATCCGGATACGGATACTAAATTGGCAGATAATACGGATACAGATACGGATACAGATATCTTAAAAAAAAGCCGGATATTCGTTCCGTTTACAAACCTAGTTAAGCATATTTTCTCTCACACTAAACCTCGCTAGTTAAAAAAAAAAACTCGTAAAAATTGTTTTTGACACCAAGCCAAGTGAAATGTTTGAGACCTTAAACCCTTTTAAAAACATATTTTTTGGCTTCTCTACGACTCTACCTGTAGTAACTCGAAACGTCGTGGATCCACCTTTGCCTGACGGATACTATGGTAATGCATATATTGAAATGTATGTACCATTAACCACAAGAGAAGCGAAGAATTTACGATCTCAGACATCGTGAAACTCATAAAAGAAGTGAAGATAAAGGCTCAGGATAAAGATTATCTTCACGAAGAGCTTGCAAACACTAAAAACCCATTAAGATGAATTTAACGATCCAAAGGAAAAAAAAAAGATGAATTATTTTGTTGACGGATTTGATTAAACCTCAAATAAAACTGACCCTAAACCCTATAAATCATTGGAATTTTTGGAACTTTGAATACGAGTAAGTATTACTTATGGACTATTTTTGTGTTTATCCAAGCGATTCTGATTAACTTTTCAGATATGAAAATTTGGTAGGCACCTATATATCAAGTTAAACATTAGGGGGGGGGGGGTTATTGGACGAAGGAAATTGATAGAATTAAACAGAATTTGAATTCGAGTGTTATTCATTTTGACTTTTTGTAGATTCTATTAAATTCTTGTGTTATTGAAATAAGTATTTGTAACCATTCTTTTGAAATACTTTTAATTCTAGTGTTATTCAATTTGTTGAATTCTTAATTCTATTAAATTCAAGTGTTATTTAATGTTATGTAAAATTCTATGACACCATTATTTGACAAGAATTTAATAGAAACATTAGTGTAAAATGTATTGAACAAATTCTGAGCCTTTACGTTGTGATTTCGGTGGAAAAAAAAAGGACGTACGGACTTCAAATGGGTCTTCTTCTCATTGGCATCTCTTCTAGAGCCAAGACCTCATCAAAATTTCCCTCAAATGATTCGTCTTCCCATTGACATCTCTTCTGGAGCAACCAAGAGCCTCATGTGCAAACCATTAGCTATGAACTCATGTGCAACATATCTTCTTTTCCACCTCTGATCTGCTCCAAGCTTGATCCTTCACCACCATCGAGAGTTTCCACAACCATGACATGTGCTAATAGAGCCACCAGTGATTTCCACCACCTGTGCGACTTCTCCAACTCTCTCCTCTTCTTCATGGCTCTCTCTCTCTCCTCTTCTCCCTTTCTCTCTTTTTTTGTGTTAACGAGATTACTGCCTCTTTCATCACATCTCCACATGAGACCTCACTTCTCCTATTTTCTCGTATCCTCCAGAGATGCCATGTGACCATGTCTTAGCCGTGTCTCTCTTTCTATCTGACGGGGTTGATCGAGAATCAACCACGGTGACTCAAAATGAAACAACGCCAAACGACGGCAATGACACAACAACTTCAGATTGATCTCCTTATCCTCGTGAACACAAGCTAAGATGAGAATGACACGCTTGCTTTGGTAGCTGCGACATCTGCAAGGTTTCGGGTGTGCTCGTGAGTCGTGAATCGTGATGCTCTGTTTTTGTTAACGTGAGAACAACAAAACATGTTTGTTATTGGACGAACAATAACGTGAGAACAATTATTTGATACACATCAGTGCTGAAGCATGTTTGTTATTTTATTCTTTATGGATATGCTCCAATTTTATTAGATAAGAATGTTGTTGCTAGATTTTCGATACTTTTGAAATTTATTTGTTTATTATAAAATCTATCAACCATATATCGTAAAATCCCAAAAAAATAGTATTAGTTACACTTACTTCTCCTATATAATATTGGTGATCATTTCCTTACTTCTCAAAAAAAAAAAAACAACGATCATCTCCTAAAACCAGTTTGAAGAAAAACCACAATCATCCTTCGTAAGTTTCTCTAATCCATTTTTATATAATAATCTACACTACAGTTTCTCTTGATCCATATGAAAGATTTCTTTGTGTTTTTTACTTTCCTTTTTTCTTTAGAATGGAATCAGGAGACCAGGCAGGAGAGACGTCAAAAAAGAAAAAGAAAGGCCCATATATGTCATGGTCAGATCAAGAATGTTATGAGTTAACGGCTATATTAGTTGATGCTATCAAACGGGGCTGGCGTGACAAAAACGGTACCATAAGCAAAACTACGGTAGAGAACATAGATATGAGCTAATGGAGTTGATGAGCAATACGAAGAACCACAACACAATTTCTACTTTGATTGAAATACTTAAACAAATCAAAATAATCATGAATAATAAAAATAGAAAACTATAATTATTGTTTACATGATGATTTGATGATGCGTTATTTGTGAAGGGATGAAGAAGAAGATGAAGGAAGCCACTGATATTCATGTTGATGATACCTACACTTGAACGATCTTGGATGCTTCGACGGTGAACACACACACTTCTTCTTTCCATCGCCACCGTCACCACCGCTACGGTGACCAGCAGTGGCTTCCACATCTGTTGCCACCGTCACTTCTGCCACCGGAGTAATTTCGTGGAAGCTCTCCGGAGGGATAACAAGAGGTAGAAGAATTTTGTAAATATATCTTTTCAATTCTATTGAAATTTCTTTTCAATTCTATTAAATTGTTGTAGAATATTCGTAGAATTTGAAAGAAAGATTTAAAAAAATATTTACAAGTACTTACAAATCTGTATTTATGTCTTTAATTCCATTCTATTAAATTCTATGACATTCTTTGCTTCAATACCCCCCCTAAGACCTGAAGGTTCAGATCGATCCCGCCCGCATCATCCAAATAATTTTCTAGCTAATCCATAAATAGCACTCCAATTTCCGACGGAAATCGAACCCAAAAATGTGCGAATTTACGCCTTAAGATCTAGGTTTTCATCCTAAACCTAACCATCATAGTTACGGTAGAAATAATGTTCCTACCGCAAAGACTTGAATCAAGGACCTCCCAAGTGTTTTTCACAAGGATACCACTATACTTATGTTAGATATAACATTATTATACTATACTAGGTCGAAACCCGCGCTACGCTGCGGGTATTTTTTAAAAATTTGTTTTATTTAAACAATCAAAACCAAAACAATATAGTATTTATTATTGGAATCAATTAGTCTGTCGACCACAAGAGACATCAATCTCTCTTGAGAAAATTATTAGACAAACACAAGTTACGAAAATTTCATGAAAATATAGAAATCGAAAAAGATGGACCAGACTTTGTTATGGGTTTTTAAAATGAATAGGCTAAACAATTCATAAACATTGGTTAATATAATTTGGTTTATGACTTAAAATTAGAATGTTCAAAGATAAATAGTTACAGAATGACGATCCTATGGTTCTTAGCATTTTAAGGGAATCCCATCTTTCTCTTTGTCTTTCTCTTAACTTATATTTACCAGGCCGGCTTAAAATTTTTTTTGACCTTGTGCCCAATTTTTTGTTTTTTTTCTGAAAACTTAAGGTCTTATTTGCAAAGATTTAAAATTTAGGACCATTGTTTGCAAAAATATCAAAAATTTAGGACCTTTAAGCTTTACAAAAACTGACAAACAAATGTGGACCTAGTGCTCTAGCACTGTCAGCACTGCCTCTAAGTCGGGCCTGATATTTACCATTAAATGTTCTTGGAATAGAGTAGGTCAAGCGTTTGAGCCGGCAGCATGAGATCACCTTCATTCAAAGCATAAACCACAAATACAGAGTTAATTCTCAACTTTTTGATATGCAGAATTATATATTTCTATATAATAGATCAAAAATAATAACCAAATTAATCAATAACATTTGCGATATTTCAGCCAAAATTTACAAACAAGAAAAAGAGCATAAATCCAAAATAAGTCAAATTGCAAATGCAAACTTCACTGGGCTACACATTTCTATGGTTAGAACATAGAATAAGTTGACCAATTTTCCCTTTAGGGATTTCATTTTTGAACAGAAACTAACAAAGTTTTGCGCTTTATATGCAGATGATCAAGTGAAACAAGATACATGTATAATAGGAACATAGAGATTCAAGTTTGACTATACATCTTGAAGTAACAAGACGGGATAATAGAACATGTGTGAGATTACAATCCTAAGAGTGTAATGTTCTTTACTGCTGTGAATTTCTTGAATTGAAATAAAAAAGAAACGTAAACCAATTTAGCAATCGTAAACTCTTATGAATAAACTATGATTCTAATTATGCTTGTGTACCACAAATAATTTTAACAGAAATAATCTAAGGTTTTTGGAGTATAATATTCACTGAAACATATTTACATATATCAGAATATAAAAACAAATCTAACATTTATAAAAAGTTAAACATATACAAAACATAAAATAATAAAAAAACAAATATAAATATTAACTACACGGTACATTTTTTTGTAAAAGTAAGATATAAAAAATATTTATTAGTGTATGCATATATAAACTAATAAAATAAAAACAATTAAAATACGAGCAAATATAAAATAATATCTGAAGAACCTCTTACATTTTTACCGTAAAACTTATATTAAAACAAAATTAATTTACAAAAGTAACACGCGGTGTAAACTACTTGTTAAATTCACTTCATGCATGTTGTTCTCTAAAACCATTTGATGTCAAACAACTTTAAAAAAAATAAAGAGGGTATTTTGTTTTCCATTTTTTGTAGATATTGAATTATTAAACAAATTAGAAATTTATTTATTATTATCAAAAAATTAAAATCATTATGTGTATGATTGTATTAATTTGATTAGTTGTCTTTTTAAATAGGGGCTTTTGCAAAAATGCCACTTTTCAAAAATACCTCTTTTTAAAACTTTATAAAAAATGCTCTTCGTTTACAAAAAAACTAAAATAAAAAATTCTCTTAAAAATATAAGACTTACCCAAATATGTATGTAATATTATTAAACATTCACAAACTACATTTCTATGTATCTAAAATCTTATAAATACTTTATAAATACCTTATAAATGCATTTTAAATACTTTTAAAACCTTTAAAATATCTTGTAAAACTTTTGAAAACCTTAAAAATCCTTTAAAATAACTTGTAGAACCTTTAAAAATACCTTATAAATATCTTTAAGTAGTAGTTACAATTCATAAGTACCTTATAAACCTAATAAAACTTTATAAACATTTCCGATTTAAAAAGGGGCAGTTTTGAAAATGGATATCTAAAAGAGGTATTTTTGAAAAAAGACACACCAAAAAGGGTATTTATAACAATTTCCCTTTTAAATAATGTGTTTTTTTATAAAAAGCTGATGTGGCATGCTGGAAATCTGATGTGGCAAAGAAGTGATGTGTATTAATCGAAATGTTTTTATTGGATAATGATTTTAATGAGGTGTCAGCCTGAGAAAATCCCAAAATGCTGATCTGTCAGAATTAGAGAGATCCTTAGTGTTATTATTGTATTGATTATGTCTTTTTGCGCCATATGTCACACATATGTTCTTGTTGTCGCTTGTAATTCCGAGACCACTATCGTTTAGCATTTGATAAATATGTGACGCATAAACCAAGTTAATTAATTAAGATCTTACATTTTTATAAGATTACTATTTTCTATTTCTTCGTCTACTCACACTATTGTTTCTCCGCCCGCTCATACTATTTTTTAATTCTGATTGTGAGCATTGGGAATTTGAGATCGAAACCTTCAACAAATTATACTGTCATCGATGATCGATCTGATATGTTGTTTAGAGTTATATGTTTATTGCATCCAATTTTGCATCGATGGAACTTCGCATAGACGCATACAATTGTAGAATATGTCTTGCACTGTGGAAGAAAAGCTTGATGTCTTCACAATACGATATTATTACGTTTGTCTCTAGTTTTCTTTTTATATAGTATTTTTTTTTTTTTGTCAAAGCGTTACAAATCAAATGTCATGTTATCTTCCATACTCCGATGTAATTTGGATTATTATGGGACAACATTATAAAAAGACCCAAGAAAAAGGTAAAACTAACCAATTACCAAGTTATACTAGTCTAGTGATTACCAAAAAAAAAAAAAGTTATAGTAGTCTAGTGGTTCTAACCAAGTTTAAGTCTAACTAGGTCAATTTTTTCTTTTAAAACGTGTAATTATTTAAATCATTCTTATTTGGCTAGTCGAAATGAAATGATGATGATTTAGGATCATACTTTAAAACTAAAAACTAACCAAATATTTGAACATGATAAAAGTTACGTACGTTTGCTTTTACCTTTACAAATAATAATGAAAATTCATTGGCCGTGCGGACAACAAGGATAACTTAGCATGGTTTACTTTGAAATGACAAATGAAAATAAAATGTCAAACCTTTTCCATTTTCTTCATTTATTGGCCGTGCGGACAATAAGGATTACTTAGAATATAAATAAAAGTTAAGTGCCATTTGTTTACTTGTTACAATGTTTAACGTCAACGTGGCCAACATTATGCCAAAACTTTTATCTATAAAAGACAAGAGTGTTCTTAGAGTTATACACTTATATTTGTCAAACACACAAAAATTAAAACATGTCGATTCACATAGCTTCATCGATCCCTTTAATGGTCGAGAAGAAGCTCACCGATATGGTGAAACCCTCAAAACATATTCCTCAACAAACACTTTCCCTTTCAACACTTGACAATGATCCTTACAACGAAGTTATTTACAAGGCATGTTACGTTTTCAAATCCAAGAACGTTGTTGATGATGATAACCGGCCTGAACTTTTGCTTAGGGAGGCCTTGTCCGATCTTCTTGTGTATTACTATCCGCTTTCGGGGAGTTTGAAGCGGCAGGAGAGTGACCGGAAGCTTCAATTGAGCTGTGGCCACGATGGAGGCGGTGTGCCGTTCACGGTAGCTACTGCAAATGTGGAGCTCTCTTCTTTGAAGAATCAAGAGAATATTGACTCGGATACGGCCTTGATGTTCTTGCCTGAACTTCACGTGGATAACGATGGTTATCGACCTTTTGCTTTGCAGGTACACAAACCATTTATTTTTTTTAGGTGTTTTTTTTTTGGGGGGTTTATTAATTAGAGTTTCAAAGTAAAATCTAAGCTCATGGTTTGGTACGATTTTGGTTTCCCTTCGGATTTGGTTTTTAATCACATTTTAATTTCTCCTTAATTTTCAATGATAATTAGGATTTAGATTGATTTTTTTTGTCTTATTCAAATTCTGAGTCTGATTTTTTTCGAATATAGGAAAAAAAATTCCTTTAAATCATATGCTAAAATATGATTTGGTTTTCGGATCGGTTATTTCGGTTCATCTCAGATCGAGTCTAAAATAAAGTATATTTACTAGAGTCATTTTTGTAAAAGTTGCTGGATTTTGTATTTTTAAAATTTTATATATATATATTAGACCGGTGCTGCATGCCCGGCTAGAAATCTGCAAATTCCGCATAATTTAGTCCAATTTGGTCTCATCTAAATAATTCCATGCATTTATTTTACAGTACTGCGGCCTGATTTGGACATAACTAAACTAAAATGATATAAATTTTAGATGCATGTGGCAAGTGACCAAACTTTTTTCACATCAACTTTACTAAGAAATAAATAATTTTTTTTTTTTTGAATAGGTAACCAAATTTGAATGTGGAGGATTTATCTTAGGGATGGCAATGTCACATGCAATGTGCGATGGATATGGAGAAGGTCATATCATGTGTGCCTTGACGGAGTTGGCCAACGGGAAGAAGAAACCGATGGTAACTCCGGTTTGGGAAAGAGAAAGACTTGTGGGGAAGCCTGAAGATGATCAACCTCCATTTGTTCCCGGCGACGACACGGCTGCTTCGCCCTACTTACCAACGGATGATTGGGTATGTGTGCACACAACAAGACCCTCACATACTATATTAATCCAAAACAATAGTATTTTAATTCTATCCATGTTTATAAATGTATTCAGGTAACTGAAAAAATAAATATTAGAGCCGATAGCATAAGAAGATTGAAAGAAGCTACATTGAAAGAGTGCGACTTCTCTAATGAGACAATCACTACTTTCGAAGTTCTAGGAGCTTATTTGTGGAAATCAAGAGTTAAAGCTCTCAATTTGGATCGAGATGGAGTCACAGTTTTGGGTTTATCAGTAGGAATCCGCAACGTTGTGGATCCACCTCTGCCCGATGGATACTACGGTAATGCATATATTGACATGTATGTGCCATTAACCGCGAGAGAAGTGGAAGAATTTACGATCTCCGATATCGTAAAGCTTATAAAAGAAGCAAAGAGGAAGGGTCACGATAAAGATTATCTCCAAGAAGAGCTTGCAAACACTGAAAAAATCATTAAGATGAATTTAAAGATCAAAGGAAAAAAAGATGGGTTGTTTTGTTTGACGGATTGGAGGAATATCGGGATCTTTGGATCGATGGATTTCGGGTGGAATGAGCCGGTGAATATCGTCCCGGTGGTTCCATCGGAGACAGCTAGGACGGTTAATATGTTCATGCGACCATCTAGGTTGGAACCGGATATGGTCGGAGGGGTTCAGATTGTGGTTACATTGCCAAGAATTGCAATGCTTAAGTTCAAGGAAGAGATGAAAGCTTTGCAGTAAAGCTTGTTTTTATCTTTTTTTGTTTTAAAAAATCATAAAAGAATATAAAATTTTTTGAAAAGACGAAGTCTACATCTAATGTTACTAACATTCTTAATTTAAATCTAATTAGTTAATTTAAGAATGGATAATAAAACTTATTACAATATGAAAAAATAGAGAATTCAGTCACAATATATCATTTTGATAGTCACAAATCACAATATATCATTTTGATGAGATTTTTTAAAAAAACTTATTACATCTTAACTACATATAATAGTCACAATATATCATTTTGATAAGATTTTTTTTTTATCAGTGTCATTTTTGAAATTTTCACACATTAAAAGAGGGGAGAATAAGTAGAATAACCTATATACGAAGATTAATAACTAAATAACATTCTATTTTTAGAAACAAATAGAGTTTTTTTTGTTTTTCTTTAACATCTAAAATACCATTTCTCTAGTTCACTAAGTTACCTACTGACATTAACAATACTTTTCTTATCTGTTTTCCAAAGGTGACTTCACTGGGTTTCAATAATCGTGAAAATCTTCATTAATTGTAAATGGTGATACAAAGCAAGCTTAAATACAAACTAAACTAAACCAAATATACTAACCAATCTAAACCATAACTAAACCAACTATATACACTCTAATACTGGGCTCGACCTTAGCTATTGAACTTCTCAGCACCAAAAGGGTCGATGATGCGAGGTATGGAGTCTACAGCCACCGCCTGGATGACAAATGGTTGGCCGGAGGAGCTTCCACCATCCTCAGACAGCTCTTCAGTGACGAAGAGTTAGAGAGTCTGAGCCGAGAAATCAATCCTACAGTTTCATCTCCTTTAGATTCCCATCGCTGATCCTAACTTAGCTCCCAGGTGGTTTGTCTGCCTTTCTCATGTTCTCACAGGTCTAATCTGTATATATAATCTTAAATCAAACTTCTCCCAAACCAAGTAAAATACACGTTTCTTTATGATTCGAGTGTGGTTGAATAACAAGCTCTCACTGCAAATTGAGGACGAATACTCCATTGAGCAACACATGTTCTTCCAAATTGTATTAGAGCCATTTTGTTTTAGCTCAATACACTCCCTGAAACAACAATTTAAACATATCTTTCAGCCTAAACACTCTGCCTTTCTGTTACAATCATGAACCAAAAAAGCTAAATCATTTCAATAGAAATCCGAGCTGGGCGAGTTCCACACGCCACAAGTTTGCCCTTTTACGGGGAAAAACAGAAAACAAATCAGTCCAAAGCAAAGGAAACTGTGTAAAACCTCGAAAACGTCGTATGGTTTCAATCTCAGAAGAAACTTTAAAAAGAGAGAAGATTTGTGTGCAGTTGGAGAAGGTTGAATCGTACCGTAATCGAATGGTCGACGGGAGAAGGCAGAGCTGTGCGAATGGTCCGAGACAGAGAGAGAGATAAGAAAGCTGAGTAGAAGAAACGAATGAAAGGAGGTTGCTAGAAGAACGTAGCCCTTTTCTTATTTTAAATTTTTCTTTATATTTATTCTCAATTTTTATTACAAAAGAAAATCAAGAAATGTAATAGTGATATTATAAGGTGGGGGAAAAAGACTAATAAGAAATCAATTTTCGTTGACAATCTGATTGCTATCTGCATTATGGTTTGATGAAGTCCATGAATATATATATATATATATATATCTACAAAACAACATAATTTGTTATTCCTGATGATAGTCAATGAAAAGACACTTCTTCAAGAGGAAAGATTGATATTTATATATTAGATTCACTTTCTTCTTTCTAATTATCTCCTACTGCATGTGCTATTAGCAAGTCTTGTTCTTACTCATATCAACAAGTTCCTTAATAAGTTTCTTCTCAAAATACACCAACACCACTCTTCATAAGATTTAAGAGGATGAAGAAGTGAAAGCAATCAGATAGCTAAAAAAGAAGAAGATAAAGAACCTCTTCTCCCAACGATTGGCACTGAAAAGAGATGAATGGTGTGATCATCTAACTGAGACTTATTAGATAGATATGTACACACATTCTTTATCACCATCAACGCTTTGCCCATCTCTGCCCTTGCCGCTGCCTTATCAGCCATGTCCCTCCCTTTCACAAAGATGGATCTGCCGCCGCATTTGCTCGTGGATTTCCACTATCCCCAACATTGTTTCAACCTTACTCTGCCTTCATGGCGTCCGCACTCTGACCCTAAAGCTAACACCCTTCCGTTATGTTTCCTTATTCTCTCTGTTTCACCTGCATAATCAATTAACCCAAAGAAATGCTTGATCATAACAAAACCAGTATGTGCCATTGTCTACAAACACCACTTTATTCGTTGCAGCACAAACTTACCTTGGACACTTGGCCTAAGGTCATTGGTCTACTTGTTCCAATCATCACAGTCCTTGAATCTCCATTTTCCATGTTCAAATATTGTTGTTAATGTTACCCAAAACAAAAACAATTATGTATCATAAATTTTCACAAGGAGTTTCATAAAAAGAAAATTTACCTGAATCGTTGTTTTCTTTTAAGAGCATCTTTATCGGTAGACACTCTAAAAGTGTCTCAAAATATTATATTTTAATAACTATGATATAATTTTATTATTTATTTAAATAATTATTCAGAAAGTAACTATTTAATCTGTTAAAATATGACATGTGTAAAGCAGAGTTTCTCAAAGTTTCGCTGCAGAGACATGTTTCTCACCTTCTCTCCTCCTTTATCATTATTTTTTGTTTTTTAATTAGTAAAAACTCATGTGAGACACTCCCAACGGAGATGGTCTAAGCTTTTTTCTATTTCCTTGAGAGGCGATGTGTTAATTATATACAATTTTGGGTAACAATCTTCTGCGGGTGAAACGCAGCGTCTTGTAAAATACAGGTGGGCCGAGGCCCATCGAACCGCCTTTTGAATTATAAAGCTAACTCCAATTTTGGAAGTGTAAAGCTACTCGGTCGAGAGGTCTCTCTCTTTTTTGCGTCAGCATAACTGCAGAAGAAGCAGCTATTCCGTAAGTTGTCGTTGTACGAATTTTTGATTGATTGGGAACGATTCAGTTCCGACTTCGATTTCCATATCTGGCTTTTTCGCCATTTGTTGAAATCTATTTGGCCTGTGACATAATCCGAGAGAGAAATGAGAAATAGTTTCATAAGCTGTTTTTTTTTTTTTTGGTAAAATCATAAGCTGTAAGCTGTTTGTGTGTTTTAGGGTTTTTCGGATTATTTAGTGTGATTGTTTAGCTAAGAGATGATTCATGTCGTTCTCTTGATTCTTTGATGAAAGTTAGCTACTTGCATTGAGTGATTTGATTCATCTTTTGTTTGATTTTGGATGTTCTTAGATGTGAAAGATTGAATCTTTGAGTTGATTGAGCTGATGATATTGATTGTATAGATCAGTGCAAATGTACTTAGGTTTGATTTTACATTGATTGTATAGATTGTATAGACTAAGCATCGTCAAGCCAATGTATATAGACTAATACTTTTTTGTTTTTTTGAATAAATGTAAAATTACATTCATCAAAAAACCTTAGTTACATTAAATACGTCTTTTAGCAAAAAGACTGTAAAAGATGTGACTAATAATTTTAAAGTATTAATTATAAAAGTTATTTCTTAAAATTAATAATCATCTTTTTCATACTTTTTACTTATTGTAGCACCTTGACAACATATTGGATATATATAGATTACAGTTTTAAAAAGACTTAAAATTTTGTTGTTGTTGACATTATAGTTTCTTCAAATCTAAAACCACCAACGTTGTGTAATATTTAGATTTTATTAGCCCCAAAAAAGCTTTATTCCTTTTATTTTTTTAAAAAAGGTACATTAATGTTTTCATTGTTCCTAAATCCTAAGTAATAAATAGTTAAAATAAAGACAAACTGATATTGTAGTCTATAAATAGTTTATCGTACAAACTATGCACTGGGTCCATTGTTTGTGTGGTGGGACATTGAGAACGCGCCTATTCCAAGATGGCTGAACACTGAAGACGTTCTCCACACCTTGCATGCTACTTTTCTCAAGCTTGGATATCAACGGGCAACGGAAATGGAAATATCCGTGGTAGTTGAATCATCAACCTCAGATAAATTCCCCAAGAAAACACGGGCCAAGTGGGCCATTCTTGCCAACCCGGATTCTGGCTTTAAATACACAGATTGCATGGAGAATCCGCGTCCGGGGGAAGTGTACCGAAAAGATGAAAAGGACAAAGCTTATGAGGAAATCGTAGCCCAATTGAAATCGTGGATTCCGCATCAGAATATGGGTACTACCGCTGTGTTGATCTCGGGTGACTTTAAAGTTTTGGATGAGTGTAGAGCTCTTAGGAAAAACAACATCAATGTGATAGTAGTTGTACGGAGCAAAGCAGGTCTGAAGATAGGGGTGCTTGAGGAACTTGTAGATTTAGGGGTAACCATCATCAGCGATTGGGAATGGTTTCTGATGTATCCAGATTACTGTACACCATTCACTGCTTTGGAGAAGCCAAGAACCGAAGATGGAGATGGAGATGGAGCAGCCTCTGCGATGAAGCCAGTTCAACTTATTTGCTATTCTACTTAGCTATTATCTATTATGTAGTTGGAACTCCTAATTATTCAAGATTGTACTTTCCTGCATTTTACTGTTACAATCTAGTTCTATTGGACTATGTATGGTTTCCTAATTTCTCAACTAAAAAGTTTTGAAATTATGATATATTACATTGACGAATTTTACAACTGACAATTATACCATCTTATGAATATCCACGCTGCCGATTTCACCTGAACCTACTTTATGAAGACCCAAACCTGCCGATTTCACCTGAATATGCTTTATGAAGATCCATATCTGACGGTTTTACCTGAACCACGTTGAAGATCTCCTGTAAACTTATCGCATTTAATTTGCATAATAAATCGCATTCTCTGGGATTTGAAACCCAGACCTCCGGATGTAGAAGCATTAATGAACCTTTACTTAAACTAATGGATTAAAGGGGTTCCATAATATTTAATGGTAAACCATTTGAAATTTTTTAATGCATGCATGATCAAGTTCAATCTTCAAACATATGTCTTATGCATGATAATGTATTTCTGGTAAACCATTTGAACTTTGGTTTGTTTTTTTGTTTATGTGTGTGAGCATGAACCTTCGAAAAGATTATGATCCTGGTGTGTTTAGGTATAAAAAGAAATCGCAATCGTTCTAGAATTATTTTGATCCATTAACTAAAGGCAATATGATAGCACTGATGTAATTTGTAACGTTGAAACGAAGTTTGCACATAAGAGAAAAAAAAAAGACAAAAGACAAGTTATTTATCTATACTATTAATTGGGAAACATTTTGTGAACTACAACATTGTGAGGGTAGTTTAAGACTAACTAAATGAATTTTTACCTGGGTAATTTAGTAAATAAACAACTACTACAACTAAATAAATATATTTGATTCGGATCCTTCTTTAGTTTTTTGCAAAAACAAGTAGCGAGATTAAATGATTAAATGATCCAATATATTCGGAGATTTGCTTCGTCAATATTTTTGGTATGATTTGTCTACAAAAACAAAAAAAGAAACAACAATAAATATTAAATAATAACTGAATATTCAGCATCAATATATCTATTTCGAATATAAATCGAAATATTTTGTATTTTTCAATTTGTTAGAGATAAAACAAAAAAATCAACATAAATCGAATGTCATTAATTGAAAAATACAAAATATTTTAACAATAAAATCTAAGTAATAATATTTATGTTATAAATATATTCCGATATTTTCTCATTTACTAAATATAACAAATTAAGTACATAGCCAAAAAAAATATGCGACATACATTCCATCCAATATTTTGTTTTTGTCAAATCGTAATATGTAAACAATTAATAGTATAGATGTAAACGTTAAATTATTAGCAACTAAACTAAATTAATAATAGAAATAATATGTTTTTAAATAAAATTAAATATTTGCGGGTTGGTAAATGGGAAAAATGTCGGAAAATGCGCGAACTTTTCAAATTTGGGACAAAAAAAACATGAACTTTCGAAATGTTATTTAAATCATATAGTTTAGTTTGACTTTTGATAAAATGGTTAAATTTTCGTTGACCTGGCCGTTTTGGACATGTCGTTAAATTTCCGTTAACGAGAAGATGACGGGGTTAACTTTCCGTTAGAAATCTCCGTTGAATTGAAACGACGTCTTTAAGAATTGTTCTTATAATTTTATAAAAATGTTTTTTTTAATATATACTTCCAGTCTAACTATAAATATCACATCAATTCAAAACGACGTCGTTTCGATTCAACGGAGATTTCTAACGGAAAGTTAACCCCGTCAGCATCTCATTAACGGAAATTTAACGACATACCCGAAATGGTCAAGTCAAGGAAAACTTAACTATTTTTTCAAAAGTCAAAATAAAATTTATGATTTAAATGACATTTTGAAAGTTCATGCTTTTTTTGTCCCAAATTTAAAAGTTCGCGTATTTTCCGACATTTTTACCGTTGGTAAATACTAAAATTATAAATATTTATCAACGATATTATCAATTTTGCAACAAAAAATATTTATTAACGATGTTACCAATCTATAAAAGTTTATGATATTAATAGTGTAGATTTATGCTATTAATTGGGAAGCATTCGATAAAATATAACCTTATAAAAGGTAAATATTACAAAAAATGCCATTGATATTTTTAAATTTGAAGAAGGACAATTAATAAACCGAAACGGGTAATTGTGTATAATTAATTCGAAATTGCATATATGTAAACTAAATTATTTTCGTAAGATATTATTATATATTTCGAAAATGGCAATCTAATCTAATAACAAATTATCATTTGGTTTAGATTTTTAAAAATTCCTTAACAATACTATGCTAATTAATTCTGATTGGTACACTTGGAAAAAAGATTTTTCAATTTTGATTTTCCAAATATGAAAAAACATTTTTTATATTTTTCGTATATAATCTAAACGAAATACTTCCATCCTTTAAAATACAGCTTATTCAAAAACTAATTTTTTGGATTCTAAATTTGTAAATATCTAGAAAATATTTCCAAGATAGATTAAAATATTTAACATTTAATTAGTGTTTAAATGATATAAAATTTTAGAATTTTTTTTTTAAATGGGTATTTTTCATTATTTTAAATATATATAACTAACGTACTATAATAGTTACTATATCTCCAAATAAATTATTCAATTTCAAATCAAATCAATTATTTTATTTTGTATCAAATTGTTACAAGATTTTGGAATACACATTCTTCTAGAATTGATTATTTTATTTTTCAAATAACATTAAAATAAATTTAAATACAAATGTTTTAATTTTTAATACAAATATTTCAAAATGAGAAATCTTAACTTTAAGGAACTATTGAATTCAAATCAAGATGACTAATTTAACTAATTACAAGCTACTTTTTAATTTACACAGTTTTTACAATTAATTCAAAATGATTCTCTAAATTTATTCACATTAAACTATCTCTTAGTTTTATGATTTTGTTAAGATTAGTTGATAGATCATTTATTTTTTCAATTTGTTTTCATGTTTTAATTTACGGTATGTTTACAAATTTTAACAGAACATATGTTAATCCCCAAAACTTACAACCGTATATTGTATGATGTTTAAAGATAAGCAAAAATGAACTCGGAAAATGATATTTAATGTAATATAACGAGAATAGGAATTACGAAACAAGAACGACATGCAAGAAGACAGGACGGGATAAAAACATAGATTTTAGATTAGAACAAGTTACAATTCAAACAAATTAACGTTTGCAATCAAATATGTAACATGTGTTTTCAATTTATATAGCATAAAAATGTTCAAAATAATAAATGTTATTATAGTATGTTCTATAATAGTTAAAATTTAAAAAACAAACAAATGTAATTTAATATTTATGAACAAAATATAAAGCAATAAGAATAAAGAAGTCAATTAATTTTGTAATATTTTTATTATATCATCATATAATAAATATACTATGAATTATATTTGTGTTTGTCCCAAACAAGATATCGAGAATTTTTGTTTCCGTCACGTCCTATTTCTAATCGGGAATATAAAATTTGTCTTATATTAGAAATGCATTCTCTTATGATATATAAATTGGAGAACGAGTAAGATATAATGGAACATGATAAAATTGAATGGGAATTACGCCTATCTCTAAATATTTATATTTCTCGCAAACGTATTTAATCATTTTAACAGTTTTATCTACGGTTTGATAGTTTACAAGTTTAATGTTCACAAGTTTAATAAAAAACTATCTGACCATTAACTCGATTCATTTTGATCTCGGTCCGACAGTTTGATTGTTACGAATTTTAAAATACTACTAAAATCATTATTATTTCAAATATTTCAACCAACTAATATGAGTTTTGGTTATAGATACTATAACTATATAAATAATTTTTTTAACATCAATCTAACTTTTTTATTATATCATATCATATAAAAGTATACTATGAATTATATTTGTGTTTGTCCCAAACAGGATATCGAGAATTTTTGTTTCCGTCACGTCCTGTTTCTAATCGGGAATACAAAATTTATCTTATATTAGAAATGCGTTCTTTTATGAGACATAAATTGGAGAACGGGTAAGATATAATGGAACATGATAAAATTGAATGAGAATTACGCCTATCTCTAAATATTTCTATTTCTCGCAAACGTATTTAATCATTTTAACGGTTTTATATACGGTTTGATAGTTTACAAGTTTAATGTTCACAAGTTTAATAAAAATCTACCTGGCCATTAATTCGATTCAGTTTGATCTTGGTCCGACCGTTTGATTGTTAGGAATTTTAAAATACTATTAAAATCATTATTACTTCAAATATTTCAACCAATTGATATGAGTTTAGGTTATAGATACTATAACTATATAATATTTTTTTTACATCAATCTAACTTATATTATATTTCAATCTAAGATTTTTTTCTAATATACTCTTCAGTTTCAAACTCCAAAAAATGACTTATGGTTGCTATTGTGTCATAAGCAAACATAAATAACATTTTATACTTTTCTGTGTACATTATAATTTATTCAATACAATATATATCACTAAAACAACAAAATAATCATATATTTAATAAAAATTTATTACAACATATTTATTAAAATATGAAATCCCGCACGTATGTCCGGATCAGGATCTAGTTTTATTTTAGAGAAGAAGAACAACACCCCTCGGGCCATGTACATGGGCGGAGGCAGTGTGTAATTAGGGGGGTCAGTTGACCCCTATGAATTTTGAAAATTCTACTACATTATATTAAGAGTAATTATAATGACCCCAATGCATTACAGTTTTTGACCCCCATATCAAACTAATTCAACTATATGGGATAAAAAATTGTCATTAAAACAACAAAAGAGCCAAATAAGTTTGGTTCATTAGAATCTTAAATCAAATTCTAATGTAACAAAATTAAAATTCCGTGACTTATTTAAAATAAAGTTCAACTAATGATCTAATATTATAATTATTTATAAAAAACCCCACAATTTTTTTTTGCTTTTGTTAATCTTTGTAGACCATAAAAAAAAATTATAAATATTAATTTGGTTGATTTTCAAATATATTTTTTTTCTTAAGCGTAGATTATTTCTAGACAAAACTAATAATAAATTTTATATAATATACTTATTAAAAACTTTGACCCCTATAACAAAATTTTCTAGCTCAGCCACTGGCCATGTACTCTTCTTCTTAGTCTTGTTCACGTAGATGCTCAATTAGGTCTTTTGCTTCTTTGGGTCATCTTGTTCATCAAGATCCTCATCCTCTACAATGTTTAATAGCATATTCAAAATCATGTTTTCTTTTCTAGTTGATCAAACTCATTAAGAAACCTGAGATATTAAAACTTGCCTTCAGATGAGTCTTCATAATCGATCTTCGGGGGTTCAGAAAACATGGCATCAACCTAACAACAAAGTGTCAAATTTGAAAGTAAGAAAAATGACAAAAAAGTGTCATTATATTTTTGAGTACTGTGAGAGAGAGAGGACAAACACACCTTGTAGCACGCTTTCCCAGGGCAAACGGTGCAGGTCTAAACCTGCGTATTGAGGAAGCTTTTCTGGAGGCTCTTTTGCAGGCTCTTCTGGACATACCAGAACTATGTTGTATCCACGTTCTTTTAAACTGAAAACCACCGCCGAGAGTTTCAGCAAATTATGGTAATCCATTATAAACACTTGTGTATTATCCGGAGGTAGATTATAATCCATAAGCAACCCCGTATACAAGACGATATCTGTTTCAGCAAAGGAAATAGTAAGCCAGATGACAATCATTATCCACGATTGAATCAGACCTAATTGTGGAAAGGGATGAGAAGATTAACTGAATGGGAAGTATGCAACACAGATTCCAGATGAAGTTAAGCTTTTTAAGACTTGATCAGAGATTTCTTTTAGGTCGCCCATGGCATTGATGGTGATTGGACCATCGATGCCTAACTTCGCCAACGCTAATTTTATACACGGACCGACCTTACCTACATCGTAATCATCGGGAACCGGACAGCCGTTGATGTCCCACCACACCGTCGTAGTCATCTAAAAAAAAAAATCAAAATTCGCAGTTACATCTTTAATCTCTACAATCAACCATCAAATAAGCAATCTGGAGAGATTGAATCCACCGACCTGAAACAAGAAGAGATTGGTGAATCAAATAGCCGAGGAAGATTTTGGTATGAGAGCTAAGATGGTTTCGATCCCTAAGATAAAACTAAAACATCAATCAATCAGATTAAAATTCATTGATACAATCAAACATCATATACGCAATTGGAGAGATTGAAATCACCAGTCGATTCCACGGACGCAATTCCACGGACACAAGTTCCCAATTTTTAATCAATACAATAAAAACGCTAAGAGTCTCCAGGCCTGACACCTCAGTTTTTTAAGCTATACTAAGGTTGACACCTCATTAAAATCATCGTCCAATGAAAACATTTTAATTAATACAACTCAATATTTATCAGCCAGTAAAATTTCTTCTCCGTTCCACATCACTTTTTTAAAAAAAAATTGTTGCAAAAAGTATAAATCGCCGAAGCCTAATTAAACAGTTTGACAGCCCATATTGGTTAACTGTTTACATAGAAAATTAAAAATCTTATTGAACCCATAATTAAAAGTCCATTTAGGTAACTAGCCCAAATCGTAGAAAATAAATCGGTGAAGAAATTACTGTCTCTTCATTGAAGAGAAAACCAAAGCTGCATAATCTTACTCACCAAACCCGAATTGAATCGAGAAACCGATATCCTGTTTTGATTATTGATCTCATGATTCTGGAGATCGAATTCGTAAAACTGTGAGAACTCCGATGAAGTCTATTTTTTATTTCCCTCTACTTCACTTTCTTCCTCTTCTCTCCTCAGAATTCCTAGCCGCTCTCCTTTGTTTATTGTATACAGATGTTAAAACTGTAGGAAACAAAATCTCTAAGGAAGATGAAGAAGAGAATTTCGATCAGAGGAAGCTCCAAACAGATTCAACGATGTTTGATCCAACATAGCACCGTAGTCCACCAATGGAGCGTGATGGTGGAATCGTGGCTAGATCGGTTTAAGGACAAAGTGGTGGTGGTATGAATGAGTAAGCTAAAGTGAAGAAGATTGTGTTTGAGATAAAATTGAAGTATTTTTATGCATCTGTTGAGATTAAGATTATGAAGGAGTTGAAGAGTTTTACTGATTTGGGTTTGAAAGAAGCTAAAGCATTGGTGGAGAAGACTCCTCCGATTTTGAAAGCTTGATTGTCTAAAGAAGAAGGTGAGAAGATCGTTGAGAAGTTGAAAGCATTTGGTGCTAAAGTTGTTTTTGGAGTAGAATCATCAATTTGTTTTAACGTTTGTGTTACTTTAAAGCTTCCATTTTTTTTCTTTTGTTCCATCTATGAGCTCATGATACAAGCTAATTTTTTTTAAAGTCATAGATTACACTTGCTCTAAATTGGGTTTGAGAGATGAAAAAAGGATATGATGAATTTATTCAATAGAAATCATTTTTTTCCTCGCCATGGCTTTTGATTTTCTTTGAGCTTTCCACAAAACATTGTGTTGTAAAATTCTCTCCTATTTGCCAAATCACCCATCATCAATTCCACAAAATTCTTTTAAAATACCTATGCAATTATCGTTTTAACTTTTTTTTTTAAATGGACTTCGATGATCTTGTGGTAATTGGTGGAGATGACTCCAATACTAATGCTTGTCTCTTTGCCGAACACTTAAGGTATTTTTTTTTAAGTTGGTTAAAATGAATGAGATTCACTTCTCTCTGTTTTATGTTTTGGTGATTGGTTTCCCATTCGGTTTTCAAAGCTAACAACATGAAAACTCGGGTTAGTGGGTGTCCCAAGACAATCGATGACGTTTACTGTGATTTGATATTATAAAACTGGACTTGAGATTAGTTCTTGAACCAAGATCCACCAATTACTTATATAAAATGTAACTAAAGCAATTGTGTTCAAAGATATAAACACTCAACTTTCGTTTAAATCATTTTTGATGAGGATTAATCTTATACAATGGTTTTATGAATAAAAGTTATAAAAATCATATTGATATGTGAATTCAATTAATATTTGAAGCTTAAGGTATATATCAATTAACAATACCCGCAGCGAAGCGCGGATTTCATCTTAATTCCTTATAAATTCATGAACCAATAACCCCTCCTAAATTACCCAAGTGTGTAAGGCCCATATCCAGCCCAGTACATTAGAAACGTTACTCTTCGTTCCCACTCACAGAACCAACGATTTACAGAGAAAGAGGAAGAAAAAGACGCAAAACCTTCCTTAAACCCTAAGAACTCTGATGCATTCAGCGAACCCAAGCTCTCGACTTTTTCTATACCCATGTAAATCAACATCAACCCAATATCCAATCTTCAATTTCCCCAAATTTTCTTCAAGAAAATTCGTCAAGTCTCTGAGAACTTCCATTGATTACGAGCAAGAAGTATCGAAAGAAGAACTCGTAGTACCCAGTAACGTAACCCGTCGTCTTCCTATCATAATCAAAAAGTCTGGCAAAGTTTCTAGGTACTTCATCAAAGGAGATTCCTTGGAGTTGCTATGTGTTGATGAAGAAGAAGATGATTCGACGTCGTTTTGCCTTGGCCTCGACGATGGTTTCTGGAAATTGATTAGACTTTCATCTTCAGCTGCAAAAGACTTCTTTTTACCGAAACAAGTCAGTGACAATTACATAAGTTATGTCAAATGGAAGTTTTTGCACAGAGTTTTCAGCTCTGCTTTACAAGTTCTTGCCACTCAGGTACAATACTAGACTTGAAATTGGACTTTTGTTACAAATTTTTGAGTTGTTTTTGTTACTTCAGGCGATGTTTAGAGCCATAGGAATTGGACAATCTCGGTCACTTGCTTCATCTGCTGCTTTTAATTGGATTTTGAAAGATGGCCTTGGACGGTTAAGTAGATGTATATACACTGCTAGTCTTGCTTCTGCTTTTGACACTAATTTGAAGGTAATTTACTTCATTATATTGTAGTTCTTGAAACTTTGGAGATTTTTTGTTACTTATATACTCTTAGAATTTTGCTAAATCTAGAGAGTTAGGTTTTCGACGTCTGTACTCTTCAGTCTAAGCATTGGAGTGGAGTTAATGACTCCAGTATTCCCTCAGTACTTCCTTTTGCTAGCTTCCATCGCTAACATCGCTAAACAGATTAGTCTGTCGTGCTACTTAGCAACCGGTGTAAGGTTTCCTGTTCGTTATTTTTCATTTGTACTTAAGTGTTTTATGTTTGGTGTTTTGGTTTGACAGCCAATTGATTCGACATGTGCAGTCAGCTGTACATCGAAGCTTTGCTGTAGCGGATAACCTCGGTGAAGTCTCTGCAAAGGCACAGGTTTTTTTCAGAAACCTACTCGAGTTTTCTATAGTTTGTATTCCATCTACATGCATTGATATTATTTTTGAATTTCCAGATTCAAACCGTGTGTTTTGATAATCTTGGTCTCCTACTGGCGGTTCTTCTAAATATGCTATTCCAAAACAACCAAAGGTTAGATGATTCTAGTACTGTTTAGTTACTTTATTTGCGAGATTCGTTGCTGAATTTTCTGACTTGCTAATGTGCTAGACTGCAGGCAAGTCTACCTTTTGTTCTATATCCAATTTTCTCCACGTTTGATCTCCTTGGCATTTATCAAGGGCTCAAGCATATCAATCTGCAAACTTTAACCAAGGTAGCTTTTTGTTATCTCGGTAACGAGACCCAAACAATGGAGACTACTGTGTTATAAGTTCAGTTTATCTTTTTCTTATCAGGATAGGCTTGAAATAATACTGGAAAGATGGATTGAATTCAGGCAAGTACCTTCCCCTGCCGAAGTGAGTGAAGAGGAAGGAATTGACCTTTTAGGGAGCAGAGGTGAAAAACAAAAAACCTCTTCAGGCTATTCACTTTTAAGACATTGCTAAATAAGGTGAATCCTACATACGTTCTTTGTAGGTAGCAAAAGGGTTTGGCCCATTAGAATCGGATGCTTAGATCCTAAGGCTCAGATTCCTACACTATCGATGATGGCGATGCAATCACTCTGCAATGATGATAGTTTCTTCATAACCATTGAACTTTCCTCTAAAGGTTTTAGAAGAACACCAAAAGTGAGTTGCATATATGCTTAACTTATATGTACTCATATCCCTTCAATTCTCTGGTTTGATCCTCGCCACTTGTAAAATATTTAGCCGGGCATCGTTATTTGTCTGCGTGAAGGAGCCAACAGTGTAGACATTATCACGAGTTTGTTGCAGGTAAAGATTCAACTAAATATAATCAATTTAGTAAAAGTTCATGATAGTGTCTACTGTTAACACATTGTGGTTGGTTTGTCAGACATGTTACATACGTAAAGCCTTTGGAACCAATCGAATCAAGAGAAGAGACGTATCATTGTCAGACTTGACGCTACAAGATTGGTCCTTACTCACAGGAGAGAGTAAGCGAGCTGCACGAGATGATATTATCACACTGAACAGACAACTGCAAGAACATGGATGGATTGTGAAGAATGTTTTGTTGTGTGCAGAAGAACAAGTTAGATATACTTTCGACAAAACCCAATTGTAACATAAAAGAGAAGGATAAGTTAATTGTTGTTTAGCACACAAAGATGGTCTGTAAATTGATGCGTAAGTACTTTGTTAAAACTCTACGTGGCAATCTATACACAAGAAAGGTGTTACAATTTACATTAGGCTTCTTTTGTTTAATGTGAAAACATCAATCAATTTGAGAAGGAACTTGGCTCAGTGCTGTACATTGAGTATTCACTCAAGCAGATGTTTGTTCTCTCCTCACTCCATTTCAGAATCTCCATAGCTAACTTGAGCGATGAATCAACACTGTTCGGGTCCAAACTCTTACTAGAAGAAACAAACAGCTTTTTCCCGGTCAAGGAAGAGTAAAACCGCTTGAACTTAACCGCCATGAAGTGGAAAGCGAGCTGACCCAAAGTGGGGTTACCATTGTTAGAACCACGGTGATGACTGACCACAGGATTGAAGTCTTGGAACCACTTGCAGTGTGACAAAGGAACGCGTTCTACTTTTTCTTCGAGGAGATCGTACTTGTTGAGTATTAAGAGGAAGTCCATGTGCTCAAAGATGGGATGAGTGATAATGCTTTCAAAGAGTTTCTTGGTGAGTAACATCTTGTTGGTTCCATCTTCTGAAACCTGGTCGTAGTCACTCATGGAAACAACAAAAACAACCATCCCAACGTCTTCAAACATATCTATCCATTTGCAGTTTTCACCGAGGCCTCTGGAGGGTACTCTTATTAACTGGTACCTGAAAAAAACACAAAATATCTTCAAATATTTTCGAAAACTGACTGAATATCATAAACAAATAATGGAATCAGTATATACTTACCTGAGCAAGGAATCATGGTGATCAGAAGGATCAAGATTCTCTTCGGATGCAGTCTGTGGAAATGAGAAATCGAGAGAAGCTAGACCACTCGACGAAGTGACTCCTTCTGCGTATAATATATCCAAATCCGATGGCTCATAGTCTGGTGTCAATACGTCAATAGCCTGAAGAATGAGAAAGCAGCTTCTGAGAAGACTAATAATAACTCATAGTTCCACTTCTCAGTAACCAACAATATGGAAAATTTAGGGCACAAGAGATAGTGAAGCACTTATTTACCCGTTCCAAGAAGTAACTAGCAACACTCGGAAGGAGTCCTAGCTCGCTTCTTCGCTTGTATGTAGCTTGGATCGCTGTATCCCTCCATAACTCTTCAACCAGTGGCGCATACTCACGGGAAGCTGCAGGGAAAATGACACCGAGATTTCCAGCAGCCATAGTCTTTAATAGCCAATCAGAAAATGCTTTAAGCCTTGGGCCAATGGAGTACATGGTTTTGTTGTTGCTTTTAGCATCTCCTGTTCGTACACAGAAATCAAGTTAAGACGCCAATGCGTCACACATATACATAAATTCATGATTGCTCTTGTTCATAGACAAATTCTCTCTGGAAACTGAAACTTAAGAATAAGTAGGAGACTAGGAGTTGTAAAATCTATGCACCTTCATCTGCAGGAATATTTTCAATGACACACTGCTTAGTGTTCCTGACAGCAAGAGCTTCTTCTTCAAACCGCTCCCGGCCCTCAAGAAGCATACCGAGATAACCATACACATTGGTCTGGATAATCACCTTTATATTTTCACGCTCATCTTCCAAGAATGGCACGTCCTTGTAAAGGATCTTTGCCTGAACGACAAAATGATTCAATTGTGTTATAGATTTTGGGGCTTACGCTTATAAGCAGTACAACATATACCAAACAAATCTCATAACCACTAATGAATGGGTAAGATTTATTTATATGGAGAAGCTCATACCTGCTTGAATATGGTACTAGTTCCAGAACCTCTGTTTCCAACCAACAAAATTTTCTGTAAAGTCCTATGCTCAAGATGGTCCAAAATGCTTCTGCTATTTGCGCTATACAGTTGTTCCCCAGAAGCATTCGCAGTAGATTTAGATGGAACAGGAAGAGACAATACAGCACATAGTAACTTAGTCCCAGCCTGAAAAGCAAGCAAAAGTTTGTAATCTTTAAATCAAAGAGGAAAACAAAATTGAAATGGAATATAGATTTCAGGCAAAACAACAAACCTTGCCCCATATGTATCCCTTGGTATTCTTCTGTCCTTCTTCTTGATACGATCCATCTTCGTTAACCCAAAAATGAGGGTTACCCGCACATTGAACTCCTGCCAACTGCAATACATGACGATAGAAAAAACAAACTTAAGTCATCAATGACATCAACTGCTCTCTTTAAATCAAGAATTGCATACTTCAAAAAGATTCCAACCTGCAGCATTCGTAGCTCCACTTTTGTAATCTCGCGTCCGTTTATGAAAACTTGAGTGTTTCCATTGCTAGCTTCTGGACTAATAGGACCTCCAACATTCAGATGAGGACTAATAATCTGATAAGGCTTTTCTCCTTCCTGTGGAACCCCAACAAAAATATATATAAACGTTCTCGACACACTAGAAAACTAAGACAGATATCTGAAAAGGACAGTAAATATTATTCACCTTTCCCCAAAGTCCAGACACTTTATCATACCAATAGTCCCCCGGTTTCAGCTTCTTCGGAGGATTAGAGCAAGTCTGAAGTGTAACCAGCTCTTCAGGGTAGAGAGGTTGTCCATTAACATACACATACTCAGCCGGTAATTGATTAGCTTCACAAAACCTCTCAGTCTTCATAATCTGTTTAACCTCCAAATCATTAAGTAACCTCTTAAGCATCCTAGAGCATTTCCCTAAATTCCCTCGCTTCGATTCATCAATCGGAAACCCAATACAAGTAACACATTTCCTTCCTTCAGGCATAGAACCCATAGCTCGAAGCACACAGCTGCTACAATACTTAGCATCACAAACAAGACACACTTCCTTCTCCGTAAACCGACTTCCTTTAAAACACCGATAACAAGACCCCTTTTTACCTTTCGTCTGAGGCTGTTTCTTAACCGGTACAACCCGAACCCGCTTCTGGTTACAACTCTCCTCTTCCTCAAAACCATCATCAGAAGCAATACCCAAGAAAGTAACAACTGGTTGCTTCTTACCATCTCCATTACTTTCACTAACACAATCTCCAGTAACCCGAGAAGACGGATAATCCATACTCAAAACCGACTCATTAGATTCCCAATCCGGTACTAACGGATTCGATGATTCATTCAAATCTAAGCTCTCTTTCACTGAACAACTAACCCTAGATTGATCAAAACTAACAGAACAAGACCTCAACAATAACTCACCAGAGCTACTTATTCCACAATCCTCACCATCACCACCTTCTTCTTCCTCCGTATGCTCAATAACCGAAGTAGGCGAAACAGTGATGGAATCAGAAACCAATTCAAGCTCATTAGATCCACAATTAGCAATAACAGAAGTAGGAGAAACCGAATCTCTCAGAAACTTCTTACTACTCTCCACAGCTAAAATCGGTTGAATCACAGGAAAGGACATGTTATCGGAAATACAAACCGGAGACACAACGGCGGCGACGGGGATTTTCTCAACGTTAATCGGAAGAGCACAAGGGATATTGTATGATAATGGTGGACCATCGTATTCTTCAGCAAACAAACAACAATCATCTTCTTTCATCTTCTTCAATGGCATTTTCAAGAAAAAGATAAAACCCTAGGCTTTTGCTTCAGAACTAAGCAAACAAACACAAACAAGAACACAAGTAAAATCACACAAAATCAAAGAAGAATCATTTTTTAGGGTTCTTGTTGAGCTTCTTCACAAGTGGGAGAGAGAGAACAAGAGAGAATGGAGAAGAAAGGGATTGAGAAAAAGATGAAGAAGAAAGAACCACTAGCTGGAATCTTGTCCGATATTTTTTTAAAGTTTGCTTTTTGGGAGGAAGAAAAAAAACGTGGGACCCAGTTTAAGATGGGATTAGGGACAAAACCGAAATTGTCTTATTCGACGTCGTTACGAGTTCGGAATTTGAGCTGTCTGATCACGTGGGATCCATGAACAGTAAAAACACTCTGATCTTTCACTTTTTTCCTCTGGTTTGGTCCGAAATTTACGGTAATAAAATATTGATTTGTTTTGCTTCAGGGCTTGTGTATTTGTTGGGTTTTGGTAATCTTTGAATTTGAGATTTATATAGGCCCATTAGTGTATAATATTGACTATAACCTCGAAAGTTTTTTCATGGGCCCATGAAGTTGCCCATTGGCTAGCTAGAGCAAATAAACCGAACCGAATGTACCGAACCGAAACCGAAGCAAAAAAAAACAAACCGAAATGAACCAAAAATTTGAAAATAACCGAATGGATACTAAATTGGTACCGTAACCGAATTGGTACCGAACCGACATATTTCGGGTAACCGAAATACCCAAAATACAATTATTTTTTTGCAAAAGTATTAGTTATTTATAGACCAAATAATAAAAAATACTAGTTATTTATAGACCAAATAATTAAAAATACTTGAAAATATATAAAATAGTAAAAATGCTCGAAAATAACCGAAAATATCCAAAAATAACCGAAAATATCCAAAAATAACCGAAATATCCAAAAATTTCTAAAGTAAAATAACCGAATGGATACTAAATTTTAAAACCGAAAGAACCGGAACCGAAACCGAACCGAACGAAAATTTCAAAATTTCCGAATGGATACTAAATTTTAGAACCGAAACCGAATAGACCCGAATCGATAACCATTGGCCATTAGCTACGGGCAAGTTGACCTAAAGATGATTAAAGTGTCTCCTCTTAGGGGGTGCACCAATTTGCTAAATTAAAAAAATTAAATGATTTTATTAAGAAACTATATCAAATTTTCATGTTTCAAAAAAAAAAAAAAAATACAATCAGTTAAGTACTTTTTGCGAATTTAAATCTCGCATTTTCTAGTCCATAAATTTTGTTTTGGATATTTTTTGTATACAAAAATTGTTGTAAGTCTAGTGGCTTAACTATTTTTGTTGAAACTGAAAACCAATTTTTATTGCACACATATTTTTACACCAAATTCAGATGGACACTAGAACTATAAGTTTAATTATCAATACAAGTCAATCTATCCTCAACTTAATCAATGGGCACAATCTGATATTATAAAGAAAACTTAGAGAAAAATCTGAATGAACTACACGACTTCAATACCGTAGAGTGATTGA